GGTTTTTGAGCTGGCAATTCTGAAGCCAGTGCCGCCCAAGATGAAGGCAACTTTGATTTTCATATCCCTGCTATTCATCACGAAGGACTTAACTTTCTTAAACAAAAATATTACTTATTAAATATAAAAAACAAAATAAATTTGTAAAGCATGCAATAAAACTCTTAACGTTAAAAATTGGTTTAATTTCAAGCGAGCCAAATGGGCTAAGGCCAAACCACTTTGTTCTATGTCTCTGACCGGTTGCACAAGCCCTCGTTTATGGATTTCCCGAACTCTTTGCTTTAACCATTGTCACATTTCATTACGCGCCAGTAGAGATAAGCCCGCAAAAAAGTTTTATCCCCTGCCGAGCGGCTTCGATGCCACCAAGAATAAATAAAAATTCAGGCAAGATAATAAAAAATGGCAGGGACAGCAAAAAGAACCGGCTGCAAAAAGTACAATATATTGCAAATGGGGGAACGCAGGGGGCGGATGCGAAATTGGAACTGCGCCCACTGCACCAACACAATGGCGACTACACGCACACACACACACACACACCCACAACCGACCACGCCCACCCACCAGCACAGAGAAACTCCCGCCTCGGGCGATGCGTTTCGGTTTTAGCCCAAGGCCAGATTTCAATTAAAATTTATTGTTTGTGCCAAAACGAAAGCGGAATAAATTGAAAAATAATAATAAATTGTAATGCGAGATTTATTTTTAAATGGCGCCGAATGCATTTGTTTTTGCGGTCTACCCTCTTAAAAAACAATCGGCTTTCAACTGTTACTAAACACTCGCCACTCAATAAAGCCCCTCCGTTATACTATATATGTGTATATATTCGTGGGAAAATCGCTTTACAGCCCAACACTTCATCTGGGAACTCGTCTCAATATCCTGAAAGGGCTAAAGGGGGATCCCACCATGGCCAGTGAACATTTACAAAAACAAAAATTAAGGGAGGAAAAACGAAAAGAACTTGTTCCACACATGAGCTGCCCTGAAAGCAGCCGGGAAATATAAATAACCAAAGTGAAACTTTCAAAGGAATTCCCTCTCCGCCTCACAATCGCTGGCTTTTCACCTGCCCAACTGCATCGCCGCTTTCCCATTTCCCATTTCCCCTCTCTCTTCTTGTCATTTTGATTTCAATGAGTTCCCATCCGAAAATGGCATCGCTTCGGTTTCACTTTGCACTTCTGTGTTAAAAGCCCTAATTACACTCTCAGCAGCTGTCTACCTACCGCCCATCAGCCACGCCCACACATCCTGGCCCACATGTGTCTAGTTGGCAAATTTGACACTTTTCTCATAATTTTGTATGGCTGGCAAACAACTATGATGTACAGAAAAAAACAAGGGAGCTGTTGTTACCTTTTAACATCGCCTATATTTTACCCAAGAATATCCAGTGACTTAACGATTACTTTAAATATCTATAATTTAGAGTACTTAATTTAATATGTAGGAATAACATTACAAATTAATAAGCAAACACATTATTTTATATTCTTTGAAATTCACTTAAGGGTTCCAAACTTAGAAAGCCTTTTCATCGAACTTGTCATCCGAATTATTGATTATTTTTCACCGTGCACTTTGGCCAAGTGGCTCTATGCTCCTGTCGTGTTGTTGTTGCTATTGTGGCTGGGGCACAGCAGCTGCACTCACGGGTGTGTGCTGCCTGTTTGTGTTGGCCAGAGTTTCGCAATTAGCCCAGAGCCTGACAATTGATGGCAGGCGGAGGACGAGCCCCGCTCCTCCCGGGAAACCCACACAGGCCCCGGAGTAGATTGCCTGTCCCCAATTAGTTTAGTTGTCGACAAGCCATTTCTCCCCGCGCACACATATTGTTTGATTTGACTTTTATGGTTTATAATTGGTTTTTAATGTGGCCGGTAATTAGGAGGCAGCGCGGGAAGTGGACCATCTTAAAGATTTAATTGCCCATATACCAGCGACACTTCCTCCGGTGGCCGCCATAAAGTTGTCTACATAAAATCGCTTGATTTACGCTCCGCCATATTAAATGCAATAAATTCACTTAGCGGCAGCATGAGCAAGAGAAAAACTCACTGACACGTGAACGACGCCTGATACAACTGCAATATTTCTTCATGACAATGTTTTCCAGGCGAGCATGCCTCAAATAAAGAAGTCAAGAGCTGCGGGGAGGGGTGGAAAATCGGGGTGTGGGTGGAAACTCGGGGTGTGGGAGTGGTAAGAAAAATGTGAAGAGGGGCCGCCGTTGAAAGTGGGGTAGGTCGTTGTTCAGCCCTTAATGGAATTGTTGCCCCCACTTCGCAATAATCGGTGCATGAAAAGCAAAGTGCAGCGGCGCGATAATATAGAACAACAGAAACATCAGCAGGAAAGTCATATGCCAGCACTTTCCCACAGAATCGTTGGGGGTGAAAGGGGGAAAGCGGGGGGAACACAAAGCTCTATATCGATTTAATTAATTTTCCTTTCCTTTAAAGCCAGCAGCAGGTGCCGAAAACTGAAAGATTGACTGACTGACTGACTGATTGCAGTACATGCAAGCTGTTGTAGGGGATTGTGTTAGATGAGGTCACCTACTTTCAGGTGTCAAAGTGCCTCAAGTGGTTAAAACAAGTGTGGCAACAGATTTGGTTTAAGTGCGAAAAAAAAAGCTTATTGTTGGATGTGTAAAATAGAGAAAAAAGTTGAAGTTTTCCCACTAAAACGAAGAATTTGAGTTTGAAAAATCAGGTATCCTTATAAATATACACTTCATTCAGCACTCTTTTATTTAAGCCGCTTTTGTTTCGGTTTCAAGTGGCGTGTTTACAGCTGCTTTAGATCATTGTTAGATTAGAGAGCTAGTCCCTTGTTCTGACCCCACCTTGTTTATTCAGCCGAAAGAAAACGGCCACCGTTTTCCACCCGCTTTACCACGAAAAGCACACATGTGTTTAAGTTAGAGCAAACAAGAATAGAGAACAGTCACGGTATTAATAATCAATTCCAACCTCAATCAATCAGCAAGCGCTCATTGACAGCTCCAGGAATTCCTCCCCTTCCTTGAAATCAACCCCCCATATCCTTAACCCCCCGATTGTTCCTTCTAAACCTCATTAGCCACCGCATTTTTGTGAGTCAGCAGCGAGTCGTTCGCACGTGTCTCCAGCAGTTGTCGTCTGGTTTTCCATGGCATGCCTAGCAGCCATAGAGGGGCGAATTCCAGGACAGGGGGCAGCGAGGGGTTAACCAAGGCTAAGGAGTGTTTTCATTATTGGCCTACTTTACCTGGCCGCCCACCGCGAAGACGTCCATAATTGACAGTCGGTCTGAAATACGCTGGAAATTACGAAGGGAAATAAGTGAATGCACAATCACGGAGAATTTATTTGATTGCTCAATAGGCAAATTGAATGGTATTTATATGAATTCGTAGGTCGGTTTACCTCGTTTTTCTTTCGAAAGGGAAATGGGTTATTCCTTTCAGATGGCGCCTTAAATAACTTACAATGTAAATAGCTAATGACTATTATATAAAGAAAAGGTAGTTATTTTAAGCATATACAAACTAATGAACCTTTTTAAGAAGCTAACCAGTTATGATCTTTCGTTGACAAGCTTGACTACCTTCGAACCTCCATCTTTTAATGACAAACATATTTACTGCCCATTTAACCCGACAATCTTGACAAGAAATGCCGATTTGATGACTCTAATAGAGTCGTAAAAAAAGATTAAGTTTTACAACCAATTACTCAAACCTTAAACATGGACTTTCGTCGGTGCTCCTCCCATTTTGTGCCCCTGGGATTGTGCAACTCTTTATCGATTCGACCGAAACCATTTAGATGTGTCCGCTCATCAAGACCTGGCGGCCATTAAATATAAATTCGACAGGCAGTCGGCCATCTGCAGTTGACCCAAAAAGCCACTCGACTGGGGACCTGTGCCAGGAGGCCCGAAACTAAAACTCACAAATCATTGAACGGTTCGGCGTGGAGGTGCATGAGCGATGGGGAAATTGCATCTGCATTCGGTTGCCCGAGAGCCTGGCTCATTAATAATGCAGCCGGCGTACGGGGCTCTTCATTTTCCCAAACCGAGGCCCATTTACCCTTCCGGCTGGCCACACCAACTTCCACTTCCCCAACATCCCCAGCTACCCAACTTACCAACTCGCCGCGACTTCCGCCGCTCGTTAGGCGATGGCTCGTGAAATGAGCTCCGACGCTCATTGCACATTATGGCCCACGTCCTGTATGGCTTCTGTTGCCGCTTTTCAGACCAGTTTTTTCCAGTCCTTGCATAATTACAGACGGCGGCTGCAACCAAGTTAATAAACAATTTGCACTCCATGTGGCGAAGGCGCCTCCTTGTGCTCCTCTTATTCATTAATTACTTTTTAATTGCGCGCGCAATAGCTCAACTTCGAGCCAACTTTTGTTTCGCTTTTTGTTGCTCTAACTTAATGCCCGCGGTGCGTATACTTAATATTTCGCTGTATATATTTCGGGTGCTCTTCTAAGGTTTCCCCTTGCGTCATAGGCGTATCCACTTTGCATGTCCCTCTGCTCTCCAGGGGGGTCCTTTCGGCGGGGTTTGGGCCAACTAAATTAAATTACTTGCCTTTTAGAGCGATTGTCATGATGAGTCACGGCTAAAAGTGTGCAAATTGGGTCTCCTCCTCCGCTGCCTTTTTCCAGTTTTTTCGGGTATGACGAAGGTTTTGCTGATTGTTGCGTTGGATACCTGAATTTGTGATGAGGTTTAAAGAGGGAAAGATATGCGGTATAGATTTTGTTAAACATACTTGTGTGTGGCTTTAAAAATTGTAAGCAGAATTTAAGCAGCTTTCTCTGAAGGTTTATAACATTTCTTTTTTTGTTCTATTAAACACAATGTCAAAGATTATAGTTCTTCCAAAATCGTTTAGTATACATCTGCGCTGTCACGATTGCAGGCCACTTTGAGCATTCCTGCCAATTTCCTTTCTATCATAAAGCACCCCGTTGTCACGGTTTATACTTAGGAATATTTATTCAAACGGCTTACAAATGCCCTGATTACGTGCTAGAAATACTTAAAAGGAAGATCACAAGAACTGTTGCCTGCAAATGCAACATGGAGCTGAATCGTGGGTGGGGTTGGGGAGTCAAGCGCCCACATAAATCTCATCCAATGCTGGAGGACACTCTGGGGAAGGGGAAATTGCCCCACTCGAGCATTCTTCGAGAACCAACCGAATTTCGTCACGTCAGTGAGAACCTGTCAATGTTGTTGCTCAGAGTGTTGTTGTCCTCGTCCGCCTCCTCGCGTCCTTCGTCCCGCTCCTGCTGGCCCGAAAGCCACCGACTGACAGATGGCTGTCTGGTGGCATTAGGTGGCAATTTGTAGGCAATGGGCAGCCGAGGAGCCAACGAGGCAGTTGCCCTCGTCCGGCTGCTCCGTCCAAACGGCTTGGCGTCGTTCGTATCCAGAAAGAACTTGCCACGAATCCTGCAAGCGGGCTTTTTCAGATGGATTCGCCGGGATTGAATGGTTTCCAACTCACCTGGGATCCGCCCCCAGGCCCATGAGGGCGGGGCCTTTTCCCGGCTCCCGGCAAATGCCAAACATTTCGGAGGGCTCGCAGCGCTGGGCGGGGAAGCCTCGGGGTTGCGCCACACTCTCCACAAAGTACTCCCACGCTCGCTGGTGGCTGCAACCAACTGCAAGGGAAATCGGAAAAGTTGGTTTAAGAAAAAGAAGCCCAGGACTAAACACTATACTCTCGAAATTTGTGCTCTTAAAATCTTGTTGAAGAGGCTTCAAGCATTTCATTTGTTCATCTTCCCTGTAATCACGAGCTTACCAATTATCCCCAACCAGTTGTTGGCAATATTCTGCTTGGCACAACCCGGCTGCAGTGGCCTCCCTCCGTTGGGATAGAAGTCCGCATGCCCCATGGGCGCCGGGTTGCCCAGGAGGCCTCCGTCCGTGTGGATGACGTCCACGAACCTGGCGTCGCTGGGACTCAGCCGCCGGTTGGAGCTGTTGCCCTCGAAGAGCGGCAGGGCGGGATCGAGGGCCGTGATCCGGGGCAGCTTGATGCCCCACTCCTGCAGCTGCTTGCCGGCGAACCCGGCCACCTCGGCGCCCAGGCTGAAGCCAATCAGGTGGATGTACTTGGCGGGATAGCCCCTGTCCACCAGGAAGCGCAGGAACCTGGCCAGGTAGCGGGCCGTCACCGGGAGGTTCTCCACGGCATTCGAGTACCAGGGCACCGCCGTCATCGCGCTCCAGTCGATGAGGATGACGTTGTAGTTGCCCCTCCGCAGGAAGGCTGTCCGTGGGGAGATGGTCAGGATAGGTTTTCAGACAGAGATGCCCTGCTGTTCCACTCACCGTCCTTCAGCTCCTGGCTGCTCTGCCGTTCGCCGGTGGCCGATTCCGAAAAACCGTGCAGATAGATGGCCAGCGGGTAATTGAAATTGAAATTGCTCTGCGCCAGCCGGGCCTCGTCGCTCAGGTGGAGCATTTGGGCGGCATTGCGGTTCCGGCTGCAAGGGAGGACCAGTTTTGATGGCCCCTCAATATGCATGAGCTGGGATCGGAGGACAGGCCAATAGCGGGCTTACCTGGTGTACAGCATGAACTTGATGTCCTCGCGCTCCTTAATCGCACAGCACGTCGAGCAGGATCCACGCGGAGCGGCGCTGTAGAAGATTGGGGAGCCAGCTGGGGAGTAAAAATAACCATTAGGATCACGAAAAATATAAGAACCATCACGCAATTTCCTGAAGGAAGAGCTGATAAAGCAACCAATTATTCAAAGTTTATAAACAAAACGGTACACCTTAAATACGTTCTTACAACATCCGCTCAAACTTTAGGCGGAAATCGAATTTGTCAAGTGCAAAACGCGAGCAAATTTATTTAGAGCTCGGAATACAAAACTAATTGATTCATTAGCTTCATTAGCTGGCTGGCAACGCGCCGAAATGCCAGGTAGCCATAACCATAACACAACAATAACAAACAGTGGCAGCAGCGACAAGCCCAAACAAAAACAGTGGCAAAGAAAACGAAACTGGCCTAACGAAGAGCGACTTGGCCGTGAACTTGAGGGGAGTAAACTGAAAAGAAACGAAACGAATCGAGTGGAATGGTATGCAGTGGCGTGGAATTGGCCAACCGATGTACAAGTGTCTGTGGCCACAAAGACAGCACGTGACGCATACGCCGCGTGTTACGTAGCAGGGGCAAGCACAAAAAAAAAAAAAAACAGAAAAAAAAATAAACGAAAACAAGTTTTCATTTCCATCAGGTTTTCGATGTTCGCACGGCCAAGAATTTAATCAGATCGATCGGTGGGTGGGTGGTTGAGGAGGCAGCACCACCACTGTCAGTGGGTCAACCACATTGGGATGTCCATGACGCTGCCTTCTTCTGTTTTCGCTCTCTTTGTTTTGCTACACATTTTCATCGCCAGCTGCGAATGCAAACGGATAACTCGCTTGATTAGATGCCAACTAACAATGACGACGACCTTAGCCAATGCCGGATTCATTTGCAATTCCGTCCACTTATCACCTTCCGATTTCTCTCTCCGAAAACTATATCAACTTTTAAATGGTCTTTTGATAATTATTATTCTACTTTGATAGAAAAATTATTTAATTATAAATTTTCAAACAAAGAAGGAAAATAGTTTCAAAGTCAAGATACCAGCAATCAAAACCACTTATTAAAAATCTAATTACAAGTTAGTGTATCTCCACTTCGATTTCCGTGATCCTTTTTATGGCTTTAACCATACTCCAAATTTTATGTATGTGGCTTAAATATCTTTTATTTATGTAAATGTGGTGGCTGTGTTCGTTTTATTTATTTTTTTTTTTGGCTGCAGGGCGGAAGAGTTTGTCGCGCTTATTTATGAGGAATGTTCAGTGGTTGATGGCGGTGTTGCCATTTTAGTTTTCGTATTCTTTGTTTTGCTTTGCATGGCTCTGTTTCCACGTTGTTTCGCGACATCATGCCGTGCATTTAATTCGTATTTCGGTTTTAATTATCATGCTGCTGGCTTTAGTTTAAAGGTACGTTTGGCTGGCAGTTAATTAGCGGCTTCAAGCCATGGGGATCGTTATGCTTGCACTCAGAACTTTACGGGTACCGGCTTTATGCTTCTAGCCAAGTGGTTCCCCGACTGACATTGAAATCGTTTAAATCGGTGTGGTTTACGCCATTAAGAGTGTGATAAAGTGTGGCTCGTAATGATCTACTTAAGTGGTGTAAATGGGAAGGCGGAGAGGGGACTTTTCAAGTGATATGCGATACACAGATGATTTGTTTGGCCAGCAAACATCTCTCGAGACATCCCATTGTTCCACCCTCTGTGATAGCTCACTGGCCATCCAACTATCTAACCACTTGGCCATCTGACCTACCCCAAAACAAATATTGCCGATGGTCAACAATTGAATCTTTTGAGTGCGCGTATCAACAAAGACGCCAACTTGTTTGGCTTACAGCCACGCCGCCTTGAACTTATGTGCACAGTACCGCCCCCTCCGCCCACTTGGGACACGATTTCCCAGCTGACATTGAGGCAGAATCAATGCTAATAGATGCCACTTTCGGTCTCAGCCGCCGCTTCCAGTCGCGACGTCTCGACTTACCGAGCAGAAATGTAAATACGTTGCATAATGTCGAGGCGGCCGGCAACACCATGGCGAAAACGATAAAATAGTTTAAATATTGGCTCAAGTTCTACGACGGTTTGCGTACGATGAACCCCCGATTTGGGCGTGCAGTTTCAATTCACTCCCGTACGCGAAAATCAACATTCAAATCGGTTTCCGCCTTGTCTTGTTCATTTATTCGCTATTGTTGGCTTAGCTAACGCAAATCGCGATTACGATCGATAGGGAAAACGCTCTGTTCTCGACGAGCGGCGAATACTGACTGAACGATCGGAACTCCCGATCCGTCGAGCTAGACTCTCTGCCTCAGTCGACGCCGCTGCCCGCGTCTCCGTCGATCTGATACACAGAATTCGCGAGGCCCTAAAACGAAAGACTGAGGCAACAAACTTTAGCGCGTCTGTAAGCCGTAATGCGTTCCGTATTTAAATGAGTTAATCAGGCATGCAAAGCCGGCCAAGATCGTTAAGTAGTTTTCAGTTTCCTGATAGTCGTGCGTCCAACACCCACACCACCCACACCACCCACTCGCCCACTCCACGCCGGGCATTCGAAATGAGCAGCCCACCCAGGCGATCTCGCCTGGAAGAAGGCAGCCTAAAGTTCAGCCGGATCCATCTGACAGGCAGCTCACCTTGACCAGATGAGACTTTCCGTTTCGATTCACTTATCGCCCCTCAATCGCATCCAACATCCGACAGACATAAAGGGGCAGATACGTATTGGATCGTTGGCTTAGGTAGTCGAGAACAAGCAGTTAAATGTTTATGGTAAGATACAAAGTATTTCGAAAGCTTAAAGTAGAACCTACGTTCGACATTCTCTCACCTTCAGAATACATTTATTTCTTATTTCCTATAAGCAACGGTTATTTCGAATAAAAAAGTTACTTCTCTTAAGGTCAGAGTGGAACTTTGGTTTTAGTTTTGTCTTTTCTGACCTATCCTCTGAAGATCACCTATCTTGGCTTTCTGTAGGTCAATTAGTACGCCGCTGAGATGCACATTAATCAAATGAAATATAATGGCGTAAATACCTTTCAGTCAGGGCATTGAAACTTCGGTCCTATCATTTCTTGAATCATTTCAATGCGGGCGTGCGATTTTTCGGTTGGCTTGCTGTTTTCTCAGCTGTCGATAAATACATCGAATCCATTGGCAGTACTTCCATGGTCGCCACATCGATGACCACTCAACCGGTGATTCCTCAGCCGTTGATACAGATGGCCCAAGATAATTGCACAAAGATTCTTGGGACATTTGCGGTTAGCAACCGAACACTTGATTGATTTGCCATTGCTTGCATAACCCACCAAATGCCAATTAAATGTATACCTTGCAAACGTGCAATTAAGCCGCAGAAGCCTTGAGTGGCGAACAATTTTCACGTTATTGGATGAGACATTGAATGGCCACCAAGTGCAAGGGCTCCACTTCAAAGCCACCCAGTCAAGGAAATTCACATATGTTCTAGGTTCTACCTCAAGAACAAACTCATTATTCGCACTCACACTTGAAGTTGTGCAAACAAGGAAAATGGAAATATGAACTGCGAAAAATACTTTACAACTTCCTCGAGCCGATTTAATGGTTTGCAAAAAGTAAATACGATTGGCTCTGCAACAAAGGGAGCAGCACCCAAAAATAGCCATAAGTACTATTAATAGCTTAATGCGATCGTAAACCAGTTCATTCAATCAACGCTTTAAAAGCTACTGAGTCACTAAATTAATTGCCCGAGGGGTCGGTCAACAATGGCAGTTCTTATAAATGGAAAGATTCGGTATCAATAACAAGCATCATATGTTCAGCGATCCGCCAGTCTGAGGTCGAACACCCAACCTGACCTCAGAAGGCGTCTATGCAGATACTGAGATTGGAGATACAAACTAAACACATCTGAGCTCATCTCCGATTTGCATAATCACTCGTTGATTTGGTGCGGAATTGGACCGTTAGGCACTGCGCAGATTGCAATCGACCGATAATCTAGCATATTTAAAATTTCATTTATATTACTTAAAGTGTCGTCTGCGAAAGATACTTTGTCCGATCTTTATGAACAGGTCAAACGGCTTCTGCTTCTGGCAAAGACCTTCAGTCAATGTCAACACGATGTTATAATTTACAGCTAAGTAGCTGTGAGCTGAGTTGACAATGGGCCAGGTTAATATAAACCTACTAATTGGCCAATTGATTCTACCCTTTTGCTTGGGAATCGATGGTGGTAAATGAAATTTATGGGATACTCATGGGAATGTTTTTATTAACTGCCAATTCTAAGAAGACAGCACTAGAAAGCTGTTAAAAAACCAAGTATTCGAATTATCACCAATAAATACTTCATAAAAACGAAGTTCAAAGAATTTTTAACAGTCGACTGGCATAAAAAACAAAAATTTACTTGTTTCGTAATTATCAACTAATGTACAATTCAAACTCTTACAAAATTAACTTCTTCCTATTAAAATATAATTTTCTAAGCCATCTTTTTTTTAATGGCAAACACTTCGAGCGGTTCTTTTTAGGAAAGTTAATGCCAAACATACAGGACTGATACGACTAAGTATATCTTTACTACCTCGCGCTTGCTTAAGCAATTAAAACAAAACGAATAAAGGTTCTTTCCGGTTAATAACCATTTTAATCTGCAGCTAAACTTTTCATCACCGATTACGAGCATACTTTATGGCTGAGAAACACAGAAAATTTAAAGACACAATTCGTAGCGCTTTTAAAGGCTCACAAAGATTTAATCAGATTACATTTATCTTGTTCGTTCCAGGACAAGCTGCTGAGCAAGCTGGAGGAGGAGAGCGAGCCGGACCCGCCCACCTCGCAGGAGGACGAGTGTGTGATCTGCATCAACGCCCGCGCCACCATGCAGACCTCCCCGTGTGGCCACCGCGTCGTCTGCCGGCGGTGCTTCGTGAAGACCATACAGAGCGCGGTGGCCCAGCGGCTGCTGCCGCTCCGCTGCGTGATCTGCCGGGCGCGGGTGAACCGGCTGACCTCGTCCTCGGGCACCTGGCGCATCCAGGAGTCGGCCAGCAGCTACTCGATGGGCGCCAAGAGCTGGGCCTCCGCCGGAGTGGCCGCCGGCGGGGTGGTGCCCTCGGCCAGCTCCTACTCGATGAACGACGCGCACAGCGGCCACCACTCGTTCCACCAGCCCACGCTGCACAAGTCGGCGGTGGGGCGGCACCACCCGCACCACCCGAACCACTACCCCGCCCCCCGCGGTAGCACCGGCACCACCCACGGACGGGTCTCGCAGTCGGACAGCCTCTACTCGATGAGCTCGACGGGATCGGCGGCCTCGTCGGCCTCCGGCTACTCGCACTACTCCAAGACGTCTTCCATATCGAGCAGCGGTCCCTGCTCCCCGGCGCTGCCGGCCGTGGCTTCCAGCTCCCATCACCTGGCCCCGCCCTCGCCCACCAGCCACACCAGCCACACGCACCACACGCACCACCCGCACGGCCTGGCCTCGCCTACTCCCTCGGGATCCTCGGGCAGCTCGCTCTCGCCGCGGGAGAACGTTACCTCGCACTCGCACTCGCACCACGGCGGCTGTCCCAGTGGCTGCTCCGGCGCCGTGCCAAGGAAACCGCTCCACACGCTGACCAACTGCTCCTCCGCTCCCGCTTCCGGTTCAGGTTCCGGTTCTGGTTCCGGTTCCTCCTCCAGCGGAAGTGGCAACAGTGGCGGCGGAGGAGGAGGAGGAGCTGGAGTGGCTGAGCGCGGAGCCAGCGGAATGATGACGCCCACGCACACTTATCCGGGTCGCCGGCACGTGAAGAACCGACTGATGGACATCCAGAACCGCCTGCCGCCCATCAAGGAGTTCCGCAGTCCGGCCAAGGTGCCGCATCCCTCACCCGTGCACGTCAGCAATCCCAGATTCCGGTGAGTAGATCTATGATATCAAAAACTTATGATAAAAATAAATCTATAATGAATTCCGTACAGCTACTCCACTTACACCAAGTCCAGTGCCCACGAGCTGGCTCCTCTGCTGCGGGACTCGGGATCGCCACCTCAGCCACGGCGGCCCAGTCCCATGAACATCCAGCTGAGCTGCTCCGCACTGGCCCCGCCCCCTTTGAAGGCGGGCGGGGCAAAGATCTGCCCGCTGACCTCGAAGAACTCGCTGCCGAAAAACGCTTACGTAATGCCCAAGGACAAGAAGCAGCCAGCTTCTGCTCCGCAGGGGAAAGCCACTGGAACTGCCGCCAAGTCAACTCCCCAGGGAGCCAGCTGCTCGAGGGCCTCTGCAGGATGTGCTGCCGCCAGTTCAGGATCAACAGGATCCGGATCGGCCAGCAACGCCAAGCCCACGTCAAGCTCTTCCAGTCGCAGTTTTCCGCTTTTCTCCGCCGCCAGCAATCAGAGTGAGTAATTATTTAAGAAACTTGTAAGCTTTAACTAAATCCGAAAAAATACATTTAAATGATACGATACATGGATTATACGTAAAGAATCTCTTGAAATTTCTTTAGATATCTTAAAACCTAATAATGGTGCCTTAATAATAATCATACTCAAACTTAATTCCATTACTTTCGTGTTCCAGGAGAGAAGGCTGACAATAAGAAGAACGAGTCCGTTGAGCGCAAGAAGAAGGAGGAGAAGCTCAAGCTGAAGGCTGAGAAGGAAGCCAGGAAGGTGGGTGATAGGGTGACAGGGTGAAATTTGCAGGGAATTGCAGAGAATTCGGGGAACACCGGTTTCCGCTTTGTTTGGCAGATGCATTGTTTTCCCCCTCAGAGCCCCGGAAAACGGGCTGTACGTACTTGTATTGTTTGTAATTGGCCTCGTTCCCCTTTTTCTTTCTGCCAACTGTTTCGGAAAAGTTTTTCATTAATCGCGGGCGAAAGGACTTACGGAAGTGGGTGGCGAAGGAAAGGGGAAAGGGAAGTGGGTGGGGGAGGAGGAGGGGGATATAGCAAGCCTTTTGTGCCGGCAAAGCATAAATTTGCAAACTTATGAGCACGGGAGCCTCATAAAGCGCAGGCAATTCCGAATTTCTTGTTTATGATTTGCACTGCATGCAAACAAAGTTATTCATTTTGCATTCTGCATTTCGCAGGAGGAGAAGCGACTGGCCAAGGAGGAGGAGCGCCTGGCCAAGCAGCATGCCAAGGAGGAGAAGAAGCGGGGCAAGAAGGAGGCCAAGGAGCTGCTGTTGGCCAACGATGGAAACAGCAAGAAATGAGGAAAGGCGAAGTGAACGGAAGGAGCCCAATTAGCCAGCAAAAACGCATATTTCCAGTTGCAATTTTAGACGTAAGGACATCACAAAGTACCCGAAACCGTACTATATCAACCCGGATCGGAACGGATCGAATCATATAGCCATAACTCACACCGAAACACATAAGACGAGCTTGATTGTATTCTTAGGATTTTGTCAGTTAGCCATAAATCGTTTCTATAAGTTTCCTACCAAAACAGAAAGCAGAAAAGAGCAAAGCCAAATATTATCCTAAACATCATTAATCAACATTATTGATACCTTAAAACGAGACTCTGTATATATTTTATTTAAAATTATTTAAATATGTAATTGGTTTGGCTATTCAAAAGAGAAACCAAAATGCCAAAACTTTGTATGAACGATAAAAACTTGGCAGCCACTTATTTACTCACTTTTCTCGCATTAAATGTATTCTTAGTTTTAAGCAGAAACTTCCACTTAGTTTCCCTTAGTTTACTTACCACTTTCATAACTCTTCACCGTCTAGAGATATGATAAGAATATATATCGCTGCCTTTGGTTCGACATTGCCTCAGTCTCAGCTCACCTTTCTCATTACCAATTTAAAGGTTGTTGAAACGATTTCGATTTGAACAGATTCTGATAGAAATATCCGTACTAGACCTTTTTACCTTCAAGTTTCCGAATACTACTAACAAGATACCCTTAAATAGAGAGAACCTCAATCGAGATATAGAACCATGACCACTCAAAGGCAACCAGAGTTAGAGCAAAGCTTTAGCAACCGTGAGCCCGAATCCGGATATATTAATAAATATATGCTACCAGTATGTTAACATGTTGACTAACAAATTACAAAAATTAGTGCATATTAAAGTAGTTTTCATATACCCCTCTATATATATTATATATATATCTGTATCTGTAACTAAATCTATAGATTCCATGCCTATATTGGAAACTGTTCAAGCGGCAAACATAAGCAATGTTTCGATGTATGTATGTGTATATGTATGTGTTACCAGGATTGTTTTAAAAACAGAAAGAAAAGCCCCGCAGAAGGGGAGCAAAGAAACCCAATAAAGAATCAATTATGTTGAAGGAGCCGCTTGCCCCTTGATGATTTCCTCCTCTGCCAATCGCTGCTTGGCCTTCAGGCACTGGTTGAAGACCCTGGCGAACAAGTTGGGCAGCTCTCCCCGACACCCGAGATTCCCCAGCTTGTGCATGGCTCCGAAGTCCAGGCAGTCCACGTGGTCATCTCCGTTGCAGTCCTGGCCGAACTTAGCCATGTAGTTCTGGACCGTGTTGGCTGCGCAGTAGGGATCGTTCACGCAGTTGGTGAAGGCTAAACGGGGGATACCGCACTCAGTTGGATAATCAAATGGCAGATCGTGGACTTACCGCCATCGGAGAGGTCTGATTCCGATGGCAGAGTCAGCTTGCCCGCCTCCACCCAGTAGGCCCAGGTGATCCGGAATATTCCGCAGGCCCCATTCACGCAAATTGCGGATGCGTTGCAGCCACTCATTGTTTCGCACAGACAGTCCAGGCAATCTTCCGTGACGGGTTTGTTTCCCACTAAGTACACAGACAAAAATTTAGTAATCCCTCTGAATGTTTCTCAATATTAACTGGAGATTTTAACATAAAACTTGTTATCAGTTACATGGTGTTTATTGTATTTTATCTAAAATTTGGTCTGAAAATGATTTTTTTGACTTTAACTCTTGTTTGGTTTTCGTATTTCAAGAGGGAAGTGAAATTGGACGGATGTTACAGCCTGTATAGTATAAAGCTATTCCGACAAACTGGCTTTTCAGCGAACTTAAATGGATTACCATAATTATAGAGCATTCTCTACTACGTACTAAGCCTCAAATGGCACAGTGGCTTGGCACTCAAAATGCCTTTGCGGTCGTTAACTTTTATGGGCGGAAACCACTTACCCTCATAGCTGGAACCACTGTGCACTAACAGCCACAAACAGGCAAAGCCGACGAGTAAACGAAGCATATCTGAGCTTTGACTCTGATCGAGAATCAATAATCGAGAACCCGACCTGCTGCTGCCGTGTTGACCACACAACTGATCTTAGTTGGCTTACAGCCACTTGTTTATTAAATAAAATTTACGCCTATATTAACAATGCAGTACTCGCACATAAATTACGCGGGCTCTTCCCCATAAGTTAGACACTGAATGCTAGTTTAAATACTAGTTTAAATGCATTGCCCAAAGATTAGCTGGGCTGCTGACTCTTCCCCTCCCGAATAGCTTTTCCCAAGCAGCGTTGGAAGATATTTGCGAAGGTAAAGGGCATGTCCGCCTTGCAATTGAAGGGACCCATGTAGTGAATGGCCCCATAATCGTAGCAGTCCTCCTTCTCATCATCGTTGCAATCCTGACCGTACTTGGTCATATAGCTCTGCAAAGTGTCGGCTGCACAATAGGGATCGTTGGCGCAGTTGGTGAAAGCTGAAGATACGACAAATGAACAGATCTAAAGTATATAAATTGTTTAGTTTATAGTTTATTCTTACAGCTGTCCGTCAAGGGTGAGTCGCCAGGTATTGTTATTCTGCCTGAATCCACCCACTGATCCCAGGTGAGCCTGAAGATGCCACATGCCCCATTCACACACACAGCCGTGGCGTTGCAGCCACTTAGGGCCTCACACATACAGACCAGACATGTTTCTGTGATCGGTTTCGGGCTCCCGGGTTCCAGAAGCGCCCCACAAATCGTTAGGCTCACTAACAACACGAATATATTATGCATATCTGAGCTGCAGTATCTGAATTCACTTCCGATTCGATGCGTTCCGCGATTGTTCAGCCACTGAATCGTTTTCAGGTGCGACTGCTGATTTTTATTAAGCACTGAACTCAGAATCAACTGCTGCCAAAGTAACTAATTGCAGTTATAGGAAACGATGCAGTCTATTTTTCAATCTCGGGTGATTCCCGGTCGTTATTTATTTGCCACAAAAGCAGTTTATAAACATAATGTTTGCTGTGAGAATTTCAAAACTGGTTGAAGAGTTTTAAATCACTAAAATCCCTGATCCCTGTATTTTTGGATGCACTCCTCAAAAGTGATAAGGAAATTGTAGGTCAGGTCGGCCTGACAGCCATAAGCCCCCCAATTTGTGGATTTTAACATAATCCATGCAATCCATTTCGCCATCGTCGTTGCAGTCTTGGTTGAATTTCTTCATGTAATTCTGCACTGAATCGGCGGCGCAGTGCGGATCGTTGGCGCAGTTGATAAAGGCCCTATCCGAGTCGGGACTCTCTCCATTGACGGTCAGCTTCCCAGCATCCACCCAGTAGGCCCAGGTGATCCGGAAGATGCCGCAGGATCCCTTCTCCGGATTGATGCATATTGACGTGGCATTGCAGCCGCTCATTGCCTCACATAGACAGTTGAGACACAGCTCCGTTACGGGTTTGTCCAATACATGACCTGCCCGTAAAATTGATTAGCCCCATATCTTTAACAAATTTAAAGATAACTCACCTTGTCCTAGCACCAAAGAAGGCGATATCACCAGAAATAGAAAAGGAAAAAGTCCCAGTAAAACTCTCATTCTCCGGCTTGTAGAAATAAATGCATCTAACACCTCTGCACTTGAAATCGCAAATGGGGATAGAGAATCCAGTGAATGAGTACTTGCCCGGTAAATCAAACTAGTGGGTAATACCGGTTTCTAGGGCTAATACAAGCCGTTAGCAATCTCCACCCCTAACCAGTTACTATTAATCTATTAACAGCGGCTAATAAATGTAATTAATTGTCTTTGGCTCGTAAACTTTTATAAGTTGAACGCCCTCGTGCAACGTGGTACATAATAACATTTTATTTTATGTCCTCATAAAGGATTTTCTTTTTAAATACTTGTAGCTTATACCTCTCAAAGCATCCGCAAGTTATTTGAAATAATACACAGTTCAAAGTCTTGAGATTAAAAAACGGAAAGGAAAAAGTATGCAATACAAGAAAGCAAAAATATTTAAGGCAGATTGTAAGGCGAAACCCGTAAATATAAGCTATAAAACCTATTTGAAAGCCGGGCCTTATATTTATACCCTTGTTGGAAAGTCGTTTATTATCTCAATCAATCTCAAAGGTGCAATCTTATTCGAATTCAAATGCATTGCCATAAATTATTAATCATTAAATTATTAAGATTTAATTAGAACATAAATTTAGCAAGATTATGGGATTATTTGCTAGAGCGAACATCGATGTGCTGGAACGAATTGAGGCAGTTGTTCAGCTGAGTCTGGTACTGATAGCTCAGCTCGCCCTTGCACCCGTATCCTCCCAGCTTGTGGATGGCCGCGAAGTCGTAGCAATCGACGGAATTATCTCCATTGCAGTCCTGCCCGAACTTGGTCATGTAATTCTGGATCGTGTTGGCCGCGCAGTAAGGATCGTTCACGCAGTTGGCATAAGCTGATGCAGGGAGAGATTAATGATTATACAAAATAAAAGGAATAAACTAAAAAATACGAAATAGGAATGGCAACTCACCTTCTTCCGACTGGGGACTCTCGTTCCCCAAGGTCAGCTTGCCGCCATCGGACCAGTACGCCCAGGTGATGCGAAACAGGCCGCAGACTCCGCCGCCGCAGTAATGGGTTTGGTTGCATCCGCTGATGGCCTCGCAGATGCATCCCAGGCACACATCAGTCACCGGCTTATCTGTCGAGGGGTAAAGATCAGCCAAATCGAATCAGTTCAGCTCAGATTTGTGATTAGCTCCACAAACGTAAACATGGCCAGTCAAAACTGGAATTGTGTCACACATTTTTCCCAGATCATGTCATCGCTTAATTCTGGGCATTAGGTAATGTTTTGATTTTTGAGAGTTATAACAAGTTAAAATATTTAATGCTTCAGAAACACGTTAAGAATAATTAGCAAGAAAAACAACGGAAAATTATTTACGAAAATTAACATTAGCTTCTTGGAAATGTATTTTTAAACTGTGTTTATTAAAAAGAAGCCAATATAAGCAAGTCTTACTTTATATTGATATTACTTTGGGCAATAAATTCTTTGATTATTTCTTGTGTTTTCCTCGGCTAGTCAAGTTCGTAAAATTTTCAATAATCCATAATTAAAATTAAATATATATCCAAGGAACCAAAAACAATTCCGCTGGTTGCACGCCCATGAACCTGAGAATACGTGCCGTTGAATCTGTCAGCCTCAATTCCCCATCTCATTTTTTACCGAACTAGTTTTGCAACTTTCAATGGCAACATTGAAACATCTTCGTAGAACAAATCCGGCAGACCGTAGGCGAAGATGAGTCAATAAATCGGCGTTATCAAGACCTTGTTCTTGTAATTAAATTTTGTATTTTTAACGAGTATCGGCAATTTGCAAAGCCGAGAAGATTGGCTAGCACTCAGGCACAGCATGTCTTCCAGCCTTCTGCCTCGCCCACACTCTTAAATCTTGAAGGTTTTTTGAGTTCAATGACCTATGCAAAAAATCTTAAAAGACTCCAGAATTGGGTCAAGATTAAAAATGCTTTAGAACGCTACCGCAAAATCAAAAAAAAAAAACAACTATTTGTTATTTATGCTTTCCTATCATCTAAACTAAATTATTATTCAGTATTTAAAATTAATAAGCACTAATGTTTTTTGCCTTGTATAATTGATTCATAATATGCCCTAAGATAACCCACACGCAGGCGGAGATAATGCAAACTTTTCGTTCATAAGCAGACGTCATCGAAACAAATTGTCACGAAGGTGGGATTTTTGCTAAGCTAAACAATGGATTACCGAATTGGCCAACAAAATTCGATTCCGGATTCGGGGAAATTTTTAATAAAACTACATCCTTTTCATGAAGAAAGCAAATATAACGAATTGGTTAATTACCTATTTAAGCAATTAGTTTATTAAACAGAAATCCTATGAGCTCACTGGTCACAAGTAACTGCCAGTTATTAATAGATAATTTTCAAAGACACTACCAATTAATTTCCGCTTTATGTAATGAGCAAATAAAATCGGAAGTAATTTCATTGGCAATGTTGCGTTATTGAAAAGCAACGCAGTCAACGGCCCGTGTCTCAAATTGACAGATGCGCGATTATCGAATCTAAGGCTGATCCGAAACCCCCGAGCATTAATGGACGTTTGTCAAATTCCAGATACTTGTTGTATGCAAATGACAACGTCGGACAAACAATATGGATAAATGTATCTGGGAAATCCGTTTAAGAACGAAACATGTCTTGGCGCAGAACAAAAGAAGCAAATATCTATCTATACAATTGCTAATTAATGTTAATGAATGCAGACGATCAGGTATTTGTATTTCGTGTTAAAGGCTAAGCTCAACCAATGCGTAACTAATTCGTTTCGCGAACAAAATAACAAGAACGAAATTGTTCCCATGTAGATAATATATTTCAAAATTATTTAACTCACCGTTGGCTTGAATAAGAGCAGCGAATCCCAGACACAATAGAGCCGAAATGGCCAAGGTGCAGCACAATTTGTTGGCAGCCATTATTAGAAGTACTTTTGTCCGAAAAATATTTGTTTTGAAATGCAATTCAAAAACCGCACAGCAGTATTTCAAGATAGTATATAGAACCGAAGTCTTTGGAGCTGCCCGATCAACTGAGCTGGGACTGCGATGAGCTTCGCTTTTTTGTTGACTAAAGCTCACCCAAAGCTCAAAAACGAAAGACTTAAGCTGAGAACTCCGGTGAGCGATGTCATTATTTTATAAGTATTGAGTTAATTTTTAAAGTATACATTCAGGCGCTCCAGTGACACTATGCAACATCAACAAGATTTGCGTTGCCGGCACTACAAATTAGAGCTATGTATTTCTATGTTTTTTGCTGAAAAAATGTTCGGCAGTCTAAAAAGATTATTGTGTTACTAAAATCAACGTCGATGTCTTTGTTATTTCACTTTGCTCGAGTTTATTTAGAATATTAAAATCTCAGATGTTTAGATCTTGTTGAAGGCAGCAATGTCGACGGACTGAACAAAGTCCTCGAACTCCTCGATCTTCTCCTGGAGCAGATCGATGGACACCTTGTCATCCTCGATGACGCACATGATCTGCAGCTTGTTGATGCCGTAGCCCACAGGGACCAGTTTGGAGGCGCCCCACAGCAGACCGTCCATCTCGATGGTGCGCACGTTGTTCTCCATCTCCTTCATGTCGGTCTCGTCGTCCCAGGGCTTCACGTCCAAAAGCACCGATGACTTGGCAATGAGGGCGGGCTTCTTCGACTTCTTGGCGGCGTAGGCGGCAACACGCTCCTGCTTGATGCGCTCGGCCTCGGCGTCCTCCTCCTCGTCGGATCCGAAAAGATCCACATCATCATCATCATCGGCGGCGGGCTTGGCGGGAGCAGCCACGGTGGGCTTACCGCCGGCCAACTGGGGCAGAGGAGCACCTCCCCAGGCGGCGCGCTCCGAGGCCTCGAAGGAAGCGATGTGGCGGTACCAACGGGCAACGTTCACATTGTCGGCGGATGGGGCCTTGCCCAGAGCCTCGAACACGGACAGATCGGCCTTGCTGGGCGTATATCTACAGGTTTGAATAAAAGTTTTAATTAATCACTGCAGCAATTTGAAATTTTGTAGTCTGCCGACGTGGTGGGGCCGTGCTTAACCTCACTTTGACGCCGCGTGCTTACCCGCTGATGTAGCTGTTGTCGGCCAGGAAGTTGTTCAACTCCTTGAGTCCCTGCGGGGTCTTAACATCACCGAAAGCCATTTTAAATGCGTTTTCCTGGGGTAAATTCGCGTTTAAACAATCTAAAGCCGTGCGCTGCGCAACGTTGCCGACGAAAAAGAGATGGAACAAAAGTCGATTCTTGAAACTAGCGGAAAAGTTGGCAGCGCTAATGAGTGTTGCTTCTTTGGGTCGTTGAAAAAAGCTAGAAATAGCCAAAAACTGGTATTTAAACAATACGCTTGATAAAGTCTCTTAAAATAAAATGAAATTTTATTATTATTATAAATGTAAATATATTCAAATGGAAAACCTAAGATCTGAAGAGCCAGAGGTGGCACCGCTAATAGTAGTGGTAATGCTTTCTTGAAATATAGTATCTCAATGTAGTGTTGCAAAACATTCGATTTTTGGCGCCAGATTTGAATTAATACAAACCCGTTAAATACATTTGAATGAAATGTATTATGTCCATATATAACATTTTCCCCGAAATAGTTTAAGCAACATCTTTTTTATTTTCAGATTTAAAGCCTTTTTATCGTCAATTTTATTTTTTTTTATTAGCTTAAATTAGATAGTACTTATATAAAACAAATTCAAAAGTTTTTGTGTTTGATTTGCATTAAAAACGTTCAGCGTAAAAAAAACTCTCAAGGAATTCTGATACAATTTGAATTTGTATTTAATGGTCTTCTTAAAAAGTAATTAAATATCTCTTCGTATCCAAGGCTTATCCTTAAGCTACATAATACTTATTGCTGCCATTCTCTTTTGTGCATCTCTGTTTCGAAGGTCACTTATTTTGCGGAAATAGTAACGTCACCTTAAAATCGTAGTATATAATACACTAATTGACATCCTAAAGACATCGCTCAATTGCTCTAGCTTAGAACTAAGAAAGACACTTAAGTGCACTTGCAACTAACACGCACACAAACTCAAACAGAGCTCATAAAATGCAAGTACAGGAATAAATTAAAATGAGTCACGCGAAGCTTTGCTTCATTGTCTCGATCAAGAAATCAGAAAGAATTCTCAGCTGAAGGTTCCAGCTTCGACTATAAATTGTGGAGCTTGTGGTAACCATGGAGCACTCCTCCTCCGGGTTAGTTTGTGGTAATCGTAATTCCCTGCGCCGGTGGTGCATTCATGTCTTGCACTGTTCGCGCCAAGTAGGGCTTTTTGTTGTCCTTTTGAAACAAGTCAGAGACGTAGTTGGCCTGCAAAGGAAAGAAAATGTTTTGTTTATTAAATGCACATGGGATGGAAATTCCATTAAATGTTTCTAAGGTAACTATCGACTCCGATCAACATGCCGCACTTGCAACGATTAACAGCTGCTCCTAAAAGTATGCGTCGGTGTTTCCTTACCCCCTTCATATCTTTCTAATTGAATCGCCGAGGAATATGATGGGTCTCCCCCTCAAAAAATAGCCCCTCGCCCAAGTGAAGCGTGAAATTGCAACTGGCCAGCTGCATGGCCAGCTGGGTGAAAAGAGCCAGCCCGACCTGGAAACAAGGTTCCGTGCTGCGGAGCGGCATTGATTGGCACCACACGCAACGACAGAGGCACCGCGTCTAGGTGTTGAGTTCTGCCAATCCGGAGAGCGGATCCCGCAGTTCAATTAAGGCTAATGGCCACCACCAGGTTAATAATGAATAGTCGGGGTATGCAGAGTTTGTGGCGCTTTAATTGCTAATCTTCTTTACAATGTTATTAGCCGATAGTGATACCCGTGTGCTCCTCAGTCACTTGGCCTTGCTTTTGGCGGGCCAAACTGTTTGAAAATTGAACCAACTCTTAGGCAAACCGTGGCTCTAAAAAGACGATGGAATGGGTTGCATATGAATGTCTGACAAACAAGAATCAAATCCTACTCAAGTGACAAAGCATGCGTAAAAAGCAGGTAGATTGGGATAGCTTTCTAATGCTTTCTAATACTTCAGCTAAAGGAACAGTAACTAAAAACCTGATAGATATTACAAAAGGCTTTACTCACCACCACCAAGGCGCAGATGGAGCCAATGAGCGATCCTGCCAGCACGTCGGACCAATGGTGTTTGTAGTCGGACACTCGGGAAAGAGCCGTGTACCAGGCCACCATGATGAACAAGAACTGGAGAAGGTGACGCAGCAGCTTGGAGCCACGCCAGGTCATGCGTGCCTGCAGGTAGAGCTGTGAAGGAAGGAGGAAGCAAGACAATGAGACATTGATCGGATTGGGGGGACATAACAATGGACTTACCGCCAGATAGACCATGGCGAAGAAGGTGAAGCTGGAGTGGCCGCTGGGGAAGGAGAGGCGCATTTCTTTGAGCATGCGCGCCGACGAGCCCTCTCCCTTGCACTTGAAGTCCATGATGTACTTGCCCAGGTTGCTGGCATCGTCGCAGGTGGTGCCGTCCGGCATCTGGGGCTGGCACACCTGTGGGCGGTAAAGAAGGTATTGAGATGGTGCCATGAGCAACACGATGACTTGGTCTTAAGCCGCTTAGGGCTTGTTTCTTGAGCTTCCGCTGGCATCCCCGCCACATGGGCGCAAATTAGAGGAGTTGCAACAGCTGCAGTTGCATTGCCTCCTCTGCCCCGTTGCCGCACTTCAGCAGCTTCACTAAACAATGGGGCGACTCTGTGCTCCGGCTCCCCTTCGAAAGTGATCCCTATAGCCGTGCCGATCCCTATTCCATCTCCCCAAATGATGCGCACGATAACCAGCTAACAAGCCACTTGCCGCCGCGAATATTTATGAAATTGTCTGACATCCAGTCAAAATATCATAAATAAACAAAGCAACTGGTCTGGGAATTCGGGGTTGATTGGAATCCGAAATACCCTCACAAACTGTAAACAAACAAATAGTTTTGCTTTGCTTGGAATAGAAAGCAGCCTTCTTGTCTAATGGATTTGGATTTAAGTTCATTGTTAAGTGGTAAAAAATAGTTTTAAAGTTCCTAATAACCTTTGCACTTATTTATGAATATGAATATTATTGTCTCCAGATCAATTCATCTCTGGAAAGTGAACTCGCCTTGCAACCAACTGCCAACCAAGCATTGCTTTCGGCCCGATACTATTAATAACCTATCCCCACATCGTTTGTGTTTTTGACATTGTCTCCAATGCACAATTCCGCCCCAGTCTGCGTCTCCTACTTCGACTTTGGATTTGTCTTCGTTGTCGCTGTCAGTGTCGCCTGTCTTGCTGCACATGTTGCAGATTAAAATTAATTGGCAATGTCAGAACGGGGATACCGCCGACCACGACCGCGAACACGCAGACATTCACTTACCGCGATGAAATGGGGACGCAGCCGGCCGATGGAGTACTTGGCTATGTCCGTGGTCAACTGGCTGACCACCGCGCCGAATGCGTAGATGCCGACCTTCTTGTAGCACTCGATCAGCCAGTCGGGCAGGTCGTAGTTCATGAAGACGTACCTCCGGCTGGTGGCATTGCCGTTGTCCTGCTTGGCCTTGTTCTGGGAAATTATCACCTCTACGGCGACGATCTGAGGGTGGGAAAACAGGAGGGAAATGGGAGTGAGTTCCGTGAGTTCGCAGCTCGTAAAACCCTTTTCTCTGGAAGCAATTAGGGCCCCGCATGCAAATATTTAGAGTATCCCAAATGGGCCGAACGTCTTTTCTAGGCCCATTAGGGACAGACAGACACATGCTGCTCTAGTTTTAATTGCCGACATGTGGACAGTGGAACACGCATGTGGAATGCCGTCTTGCCTCACAGCCCAAAGTGGCGACAACTGAACTTGAGGCGATTGCGCAATCTTCGCTCGAGTATCCAACAGCTGCTTGACACAATTTCTGGCTGTCCATCAAACCACCCACCCATTACACCCACTCCACCCACTTACCACGCCAACTGGAATCACCGCTCCAATGAAGTACAGCATCCAATTCCGGACCGTGGAGTCGTGAAACGGGTGCTTCAGACTCTCGTCGTCGCAGAAGAACCCCCGCTTGTAGGGATCGCCGAGCAGGAAGAAGAGCAGTATGGGAAAGCCAGCTGAAAGCAGAGAATTCGAATTAGAAGGGGCATTATAGAAAGCACTCATTTATCAATATATACTCTATGTGGTTCCCCCCTCATCTTAGTGGGTCATCGGGGGGCTGTGACATTATCTGCGAGGGGAATGACAGAACCCTCCCTATTGACTTATGATATGTCTAAGCCGCCGATAAGATTTCCACCGACAGGCGAACGTGTGCGGGGTCTCAATTGGGGCTCATAAAGTAATTCCGCCCAGGGAAATCTGTCAGCGACTTCTTCGCTGTCTTCGCTGTCTAATTAAAAATTCGCTGCCATTAATAATAACGAATAACGAATGGGAATTGTGATGCGTACGCGCTGATGGATTGCCTGTCCCCTTATTTGTTTTGCTGTGCAGCACATTTATCTAGTGGATAATTAAAACTGCATTAGCCCTGGCTCCAACGCTCCAGTTTGCCTAATTGCCGTTCTGCAATGAGCCGTGCTACCTGCAGGCGGAAAGGAACTCTGCATGTCGATGAACTGGCCCAAGTCAGCGAGCCGTGGAGAATTGGGAAAGTTTTGAGTTCTGAGTTCTGGAGTGCTCATTAGGCTAGAAAAATGGAGAGTGTGTGTATCTGAAAGTGAAGTGCATAGCCAGCACTCGATGGCGACTTGTCTCCCTAGAGTAATTACATTTTTTGCAGAGTGAATAGGGTGATCTTCGGATCCCACAAAGGTGGGTGACACAATGCCGCGTCTTTCGATCCCAAGACCTCTCTCCCTGGGTATTCCTTTCTTTCCTTCGGGCTGCAGCTGCATCAGGTCCCAAAATCTAGATCAGTGGCATTGTCTGGCGATGTTTAACGATCGCCGACTGGTTCGTTTGAGGCTGGGAAAGTTATAGAGAGGGAATTCTGGCTGAGATTAGCGTCATATTACAAACAGCAAGTGGCCCATTGTTGGTCGTCGGAGTCCTCTCTTTTTTCGATCCTAATCCCCTGCCAGCCACCCGGTAGCACTAAAATGTTTTTATGACTTTGCGGCATGGAAAACGAAAGTGTCTCCCCTATGGAAAGATTTAGTCTGATCTTCATAAGCAAGAGATTAACTACAGCGAACTTCACGGTGATAAAGTGAAATGGGAAAATGGAAAAATGGACAAAGTGAATATGGAAAAACTGTGTTAAATGGCAGCACGAAATTTAACCATTCTGTTGATGATTTTGTGCGTGTTTCTGTCTTTTCATGGGGGTGACATAAGCAGTTTAAAAATTACTGTGCCAGCGGCGGAAATGTTTAATTTAATGTTTAGGAGGGGACTGCATTCGAGCGAATTGTAACGCACCTATGCCGCACTTTCATAGCGAACGAAAAGCTGTCCGTTTGGTGTCAAGTTCATTTCAATAATAAAGACGCCGCCAGATGCTCACTGTAGCCGTAGTGAAATGGAACCAACAGCGAAGAGGGCAACATAAACAAATTGTTTGTTAAACAAAGAGGTAAACGCGCCCACTTCAGCCCCCTCAACAATCAGATTTCTCGGGAAGATCACTGCCTTGCCGCCGCCGCTTTCTTCGGCCATTTCCCCGGCTCAAAGCCACCGGCATACGCGGCAGATGTATCTTTGTATCTTTCGGGTGCTTTCAAGTGACCAAATGTTTGCCTTTAGCAGTTTATCTCTTGTTATCCGAGTGTCTATTTGCCGGGCTGAAAGAACAGAAGAGTCTCTTCTCAAATCTGACCTCAAATACGGGCCAGCGTCTAATTAAAAGCGTCTGACTTGCACTTGCCGCATTAATTACACATGACGGAAGTCAAATTAAAGGCAATTAGTGCCGAGAAGCGAACTAAAAGACAACTCCGCCGTTCGGCGGAGATTAAGGATGACTGGCCGACCAAGGCAAACTTTGAACCTCTTCAATTGAATCGATCGACGAAGGACAGAGGCCACACGATCAGACACAGTCCGTTAAAAAACGAAGATTATTGATGTGGGTTTTGGCAATTTCATGCCTGCCCAGAAATCGAAAATTATTACCAGGAATCCTCCCAGGTCGCCCGCATCTAGATTTTTCAAAAAAACAAAGGTGTCGCACAGGTAACGATTCTGATTTCGATTCCCAATCCGATTCGAACCTTTCTCTGACAGGTCATGAGTCATGAGCTGCTGGCAATTAAATGTTCATTACTTTTGTCCCAGGAATTGTAGCGCAAAAAACACATGGAAAATCAACATCCATCTTGCCAGAAGATGTATCTTTTTCGCTTCCATCTATTGTGGCCACATATCTGTAGCTGTATCTGTATCTGTAGCTATATCTGTTTTCGGTCGATGTTTGTTGTTGGGTGGAAGGTAAACAACAACAATGAGCCAACAATTGCCTCATGCCCAAAATGCATTGCATAAATATTGTTCTTTCTACTTAGTTTTGGTCAAACTGAATGGCAGAGTTCCTTCCCCCAAAAGCAAACACGCGCACGCAATCACGCTCGATAAATTATTGGAGAGCTGGCGTGGCGGGGAAGTATCTGGGAGACGACCCCCGATATGCATTTCTGTATATCTTTTATGGGTTTAATGACTCCACCTCAAGGAGAAAGGTGAAAGAAGCGGAGGAACGCAGAAGAAGTCAGAAGTCTGTGCCGCAGCTCCTTCGCATTCAATTAACGTCAAACGGAGTTTCAGCCTGAAGTTGTGGTTTCCTCGGAGGTCGGGGCATTCGTTTGGTTAAGTGCCACCGACACTCTCGTCACCCCCTTCTGCCCCGAAATCACTTTATCAGCGTTTGTCTAGCGTCAAGAGTAATTTACACCCAAAAATTAGTCGACGACAGACGAGCTCACACGGCGGAAAGGCCATCAGATGCATCCGATAGATGCAGTCGGGTAAACTAATCGCGACCCACTAAAAACAAGAATCTTAAATGGCTTTCAAAACGCATTCTACGATTCCTTTGTCAGATACTCTCCTACGGCATTTTGTAACAGATTTAACTAATTGGAAATTATTCGGGGAACAGATCGATATTTTGTCTGGGCGATTTAATATATTCAAGGAACTCCAAAGAGGCTTTCACTATATTTTGTTGACAAATCGATACAAACTTTTTCATTATGGGAACTTGCAATGTGCGCACGCCACGAGTTTTTCATATTTATTATTTTCTCTTATCTGTTTATATCAGGAGTACTTCTTGTGGTTTAATCTATTCTCATCTGATTTTTATTGTTTTTATTAAAGGGGCTTTTGCCGGTGATTCATATGGGGTTTTGGATTTAATACCTGGATTTTAAAGGTGCCTTTCGTGACTCAATGCGAAAGTTGACTACCTGGCTTTAATTATGTGTCACACTTTTATGCTAAGGAAGTGAAAATATCCCGATAGCATGTCTCCTCGGGAAAATGGCACCATGTTCATAATAAGAAACTGAAATGGTAGTAGTAAGCTCCGTTCGACGTCTTTGGATGATTGGCAAAACTAAACACTCAACTATTTATGGCATTAGCACATATCTGTTGATCAAACACGGCGACTCAAGATTGTTTTTCCAGCAGTGAGAATTGCAAAAATCCACAAATGCCACTGGTAAAATAAGGTGGTGCCATGAGTCACCCAGGTAATCTGATTGGCAAAGCTTAATAATGAACACTCTCAAGTAAACCGGTTCCGCTACAATGCAAGCTATTGACGGTTGTTTTTGAACTTGCGGGGGAAAAAGCCAGATAAAGGTTCTTAAATCAAGAACGTCTGCGGAAACTGAAAAAATAGCTCACTATCAGCTATATACTGCATATAGTATACTGAATTGTGTTCTCGAAATTAGATGGGAATAAGTACAAGGTCAAAATACATTGCCAGGAAAATAATATAAATGACATTTTCTCCTGTTAAGCTCCAAACTCTTTTCATATTTAATGTTGCTTTTTCCCAATTGTTTGTTTCCGAACTTTATAGTAGTAGAAGCGAAATGCTGATAAAGGGGAAAAAATGCTGATTGTGAGTATTGTGCAACTCCCCCAATCGAATGCAACAGTCAGCCGCTGCAGGTTGTCCACCTTTACCTGACACAATTCAACTGTCTCCGCTTTTGTTTGCACAGCAAATAAAATAAAGGTAGGGCGAACAGGAAAGTGAAAAGCGTTACACAGAGAAATATTTTTATATCCACTACATTGTATTTTATAATGCAAATACTAATAAGATAGATTAAGAGCTTTATAACTTTATAACTCTTATTATGAGATTATGGGATGTTTTGATAAGACAAGGGAAAAAAGTACGAAAAGCGAATATACTAACAACAACATTTGAAATAGTTGAATTGTTAAATATTTTTTAAACTGTATAAATTTAGTACCATGACAAATAATAAACAAATTTATTTTTAACAACCGGAAAGTAGTATTGGCTTGAGTCAGCCTTTGGAAATCGTTTTTTTTTTTGCTTACTACCCATAACCCATAAGTTATGCTGTTTCAAAACAAATACAGATTCTAAGAGAGTCTAAGAGAGAGAGAAAGAGCCCGAGGCCAACGAGCTTTCGCAATTACATAAACCGGGGGTGTGAGTGAGCGAGACAGAGGCCCAGAAAAGAAACAATAAACATTGCGACAGAAAATAAACACGCAGCGCAAGGTAAATAACATGATGCGATTGAAATTTCGCATTGAATTTGGAGGTGAGCAGGTGTACTTTTCGAAGGGGGAACACTGAAAATTTTACTTACCACAAAGCAATATTAAAACATCCAAGCCCACGCGGCAAAGAATTCGTTTATTGGTATCCATGGTGGCAGGAAGTTCTTGTTGTTGTTGCTGATGTGTGCTGTCTCCCTCTTGCAAACGCACCTCCACCGAATCCCCGTAGTTATTGTTGTTATTGTGGTTGCTACTGTTGCTGTTAACCAAGTTAACGGTTGTCTGTCGGTTGTTTTGGGCCACGTTATCGGGTGATTCGGTCTCCGGCCGCCGCAGCGGTGTTGTTTCACTGGCTGATGTTTCGTTTCTCATTATTTATTTCTCGTCTCCGCGTTTTTAGGTGCCTTTGCGAAAAGCTCCACGTCCAATCTCAAGCTTTCGCTCGCTCGCTCTTCTTTCTCTTTTGGGTGCTTGGCACTGAACTTGGCACTAAGCTTTTGAGCTAGGTGAAAATCTGGTTTGGTGTGTTCTCTACGTCATTGCCTCTCTTCGCTCGTGCTGCTTCTTCTTCTGTGGGGAGACATCAAGGGAGATAAATTAATAAAAGAAATTGTTGAATAATGCTCGGGGTGAGTAATAAGCTGAGGATTCCCTGCCGATTAACGCCGACAAAGGTAGTGACGTATCGCCATCCCCCTCCCCTTTCCCCTGATTCATGAAGATGCGTAAATGGCTGATTGAAGAACTCATGATTTATTAGCACTCAAGTGGCAGTGAATAGCGGACGACTCTCAAACGGGTTAAGTGACGTCGTTTGAAATGAACAATAAACTTTCCAGTTTTACCCTTGGATGGCATTTAAATGAACAATCTACAGTTGAATCTCTGTAGCTTCAACTGCGCTATTTTGTTGGGCTTGGACACTGACTTCGTATGAACCATAAATTGGGAGTGACTTTGATATTTTGTTTAAAATAAGAAAGCAAAATAAGACAGAATTTTTGAGAACTAAGTAATAATATACTTCATATTCATATCATATTATATTTTTGGCATTCGTAATGTTTAATCCTATGTAAGTGTTATCATTAAAATATTTGTCATACGTAGAGAAATACTTATTCATTAAATACAAGTACATAATATAAAATATTTGTAATAACTAAATTGCTTTATTATTATGGCTACAAACAGCTTAAGTTGTATTAGGTTTTTCCTATAGAAACTCCACTGTAGATCTATCCTTGCATAAATTCTTTTATGCCGCAACTCCATCTAGAGCTCGTTGAATTTCTATAATTTTGTGCAATCAACTTGACCATCAACGGGGCGTTATAATGACCAAGTATGGCCATTCGGCAAGCAGCTCGCGGTTCAACAAGGCCTTAATTTGACAAAGCCACAACTCGAGAAGTGGCAAACGTCAGTCAGTACTTCAGCCATTCTTCACCAGCGATGGAGCTCAAGGAGCAGGGAACATAAAAAGCAGAGGAGAGAGAGGAAATTGCAGTTGTCTGCTTCGATTATGGCCAGGCCAAGGCAACCGGGCCAATGCATTCGATCGGGCCAAGACTATTTATAGATAGCGAGCCATCCTCGACTCCTTCGTCGCAGTTTACTGCCTGCCTGGGACTAGAGTCCCAATCCAAGAGATTCCGACTCTCCTGATGAATGTTATTTACCTCGTTTCTAGCCCCAAATCCCCCTTTTCAGCGAATGACAACGCAGCAGGCAGCGTCTTAATTAAAAAATAAAACGAGTGCAGAACACGGCGATATTATCGAATGTGGATTGAAGAGCGTGCTTCCACGCACTTGAGATTGTTTGGTCTGAGATTATTTTTAATTGTCTGCTCCCGGAAATAAAAAGCGCATTAATCAAGCTAAATATAGCCTGCATGTTGCAGGGGCGTCGAACATGTTGACCCATTAATGAACGATTAATCTTGCTTTCGTATCTGCAAATCTTTGCATTATCTTATCGCGAGCATTTAGCTGTGAATGCGATAAAAAGATATAGATGGCCAGCGTTGATATCGCAGCGCCATATAAAGTGACAAAAGAATTTATGACTAACAAATTTTATTCGATTGGGAAACACTTTAGTCATAAGGTGTGACTTGATTTGACAACATAACAAATGTGTTTTTTTTTTGAGGCACAATGGGTTACTTTGTAGTTGAAACAACCTAATTTTCAACTTTATTTTCTTTGACTCATTTGAAATATTTGTACTTATAATTCCATCTAAAAATAAAACTCATAAATAAATTTTATGAATAAATAAAAAAAAGATTTATTTTTGTTTTTAACCCCTCATATAAATAAGTTTGCAGTTTTGTTTTTAATCTCGAGCTCATTACTAACCACACATCGCAAACCCATTAATTCAAAAAGTTTGTCATGTCACAGGACGTGTCATTTTACCCCGGCATTACCAGTAATTATGGAATCATGATACTCCGAGGCAGCTGAATGAATCTCCCCCAAATCCTCCTTCCAATCCCTTTAATTTCAGACTCGAACGATTAACTTTTGTCGGGCAACGACCACAAGCTGAGCAGCCCGCCCTCCCCGCCAATCGAATGTCATTTTCGGAATATCTCAACGCGAATTAAGGTCATGCGAGATGGAAAAATAATTTAAAATTCCGAAATATGCATATCGGTAAATGAAATGCTTTACAATTTACATAAACAACAGGCGCCAGGCCGCCTCATTAAAAATCCAGCAAGTGCACGCAAAGAATTTCGGTTTGAACATGGAAAGAGAAAGATTCCCTCCAGAAACGAAAAACATTACTTCGTAAAGGAGCGCGAATTTCGTTATACAAGGTGGGGGTTCGGTTTCAAGGGAACCACCTTGCAGACAACTTGTCGGCGCAAAGGAAGGAAAGTCGACACCTGAATCGCTGCCAGGGTTCTCCAGTTCAACCAACCCAGCGGTGTATGTAAAATGCTTGTTATTTGCTTTGCTAACGATTATTATTGAATGCATTTCCATTCCGGCTGAGATCAGCAGAAGTTTGTCAACATTTACACGCGCTCGACAACGAAATCCAATACGAGTTGGCTGAAAGTGTTGGCAAATCGAAGTGGCAAGAGGGCACAAAAGAAAGTTAAGTACAGACTGTTATTAAGTACTCTACTATTGTAAATTGTATCTTTGATTAAAGTTCTGGGAAAAGTATTTAATTTTTTTTAATATGTACAGTGTACAAACGTATATGGATCTCTGAAAATGCTCGTTTTTAAAAAGCTATTCAAGAACAACGATTCGCACAATAAATATTCACAAACCAACCTAAGATGTGTGCAAAATTATACGCCGAAAGCATCCAGAATTCTATGAATAATAGTCGGCGGTTGATTGATGGACTTTATATGCGGCAGGAGCAACGCTAAGTATTTAATACGGCAAATGTGTAAGACTGCCGGCCACGGAAACGTCTTGTAAGCGCTCTAAACTTGGCCAGAAGCCAGAATTCCGGGATGGCATATATGAAAATGGCGGAAAACTCTTACCGTGAATGGCAATATCGGACTTGGGCCATACAGTGGGATCAACCAATAAAGCTCAATAACCATGAAAAGCCAAATGCTCCGTTTCCGACGAATGCCCCCATCAAAACGCGCGGCTTTTTACGTTTCAATAAATGATAAGCTATCGGTTGGAGTGCTGCGTACCCCACTTCGTTGACTGATTTTTCAGACAAGTCCAAGAAATTAATTTTGGCACCAGTAACAGCAACTGCAATAACAACAACCTTGACCATGGAAGAGCACATTGGAAATCGATTTTAAACCAAACAGAATACACCCACGCAATTTCCCTTTCCACCTGCATAATTTATGAATTTTCCCACATATTCACACTCGCAGCCTTTTCGCATTTGTTTATGTGACCATCAATTGCTGAGGCTCCACAGACACTTTGTGTTTGCCGGCCAAGCAAATCAATAAAATCGCAAAGATACGTTCACAGCTATTAGCTCACTGCTTTAGTACAAATAAACACGATCTTTGTTTAATTAATTTACCTTTACCGTGTAGTGGCGTTGCGAAAGTTTTTTAGGCAAGCCTTGATTGCTTCGTCATTGTTATAGCTTTGTTTTTTTTTACGCAAAATACGCTTCTTTCCACAGTAAGGGTTATACTATATATACGCCCGATTCCCGTACTCGCACTTTTGTTTTGGTCTACCGAGGGAGCGCCGCCGAGAATCTGAACCGAACGCAGTTGCTGAAAAAAGTCAACTGAGGAGATACGTATGTAGCTTGTGAGTCGAGTCGGTTGAAAAGAGCGAAATTATATAGAGAGAATTAAGTTCTCTCTGTTATCTATGAGTGAATGGGAATGTGGAATCGGACCACAGCAAGGACCGTCTAACGGTAAAAGTTAAAAACAAATAAACAACAAAGACAGAAAGCTTTCTATAATAATTATTTCAGCATTTTAATAATTTTTAGGCATTAAATAAAACACATACGTTTTATTCCCCTGTTTAATCCCTTGCTTGTTAAATAATTGCCTACTTTTTGGCGTTCACAGAAGGACATTTAGAATGGTGCTGCCTTAGTAGTTGGAAATGTATGAAAGGTCTGCCCTCTTTATCTTAAATAGTAAAATTTATTTTATGGTCTTAGATAACATCATAAACTAAATGTTTTGTTATTAAATTCTTGATTTTTGATTCTTGTATTAAAATAAATGTGCACAATATTTGAAATGTTCTATTTAGGGATCTCTAATCAAACCGTGTTCCGTTCCCATATCCAGTAATAGAGATCTAGGGAGAGAGAATGCGAGTGAGAGTTCAAGTGAAAAGCGAGAGAGAGCGCAGCTGTTCACATTCGTTGCTGTAAATTTGGCCATGCTGCTCTTAAACGCTGCGTTCAATTCTTCGTTCGGCGTCGTACGGTGCGGATGGTCGTCGTCGGTTGGGGCTGATCTTTCCGGGTTTTGGGCTCTTACCATATTCGCAGGCGCTGCGCATGCGAAGCAAATAGAAAAGCAGAACGAAGTGCGAAAGTAACTAGAGCAAGAACGATAATAACACTACCTTCGGGGTGACGAAAAGAAAAGAAAACAAACACAACTAAGTGCAGTGGAAAATGCATTCCAAATAATGGCAGAGATTTTTACCTCGTATTTACCTTTGTGCGTCGCCAGCAGTATTCGGGCAACATTTTGACTCGGACTTAGCCGATCGCTTATCGCTTACGCAATAGCGTTTACCTCACCCAATTTCGAACCGCCCACAAAACGCCGACGCCGAGTGATTTTACTGCAGTATCGATTTGTTGGCCTTATTTACATGCGGCCTTATCACAGTGCCTCGCAAGAGGGAGCGCCCATTAGCACATTCTAAAAAAGAAGGAAATAAACCCTGCCGAGGATTATTCAAATATTTGTGTGTGCGTTTCGGCTGTCAGATAAGATGACCACCCGAGTGGCATCCAGGTGCAACAGTGCCATAAATTGAGACCAGGTCCGCTCGGACCACTAAGCCCCATTAGATAAATCGTAGAGGTTCCCCCTTGTCCCCTTATCCCCTTATCCGCGATGAGCTCCCTTCGGCCGGGCAGCGTTTGCGATACCACGCCGCTCCAGAGATTCGAGAGCCAGAGCAGCAGTGGCGAGGAGCCCTCTTCGCCGACGGCTTCTTGCATCTTGGCCGCCACCGCCGCCGCTGCTTCTGCTGCCGCCTCCTCCAACAAAGATCCCCACCACAACAACAACAATGTGAAGCTGGACCTTCAGCTGCCCACCTTCGTTGGCAACTCCGCGAGCCACGGAGCCCCGTACATTGTCCCCAACAACAAGCCCTCGTTGCGGGGCCCCCGACAAATCCTCGGAAGGATTCTCATGGACCTCTGTTTGCTCAGCTGCGGTGAGTAATGCTAAGTCAATTAGATCCGCAACTGGAGACCCGCAAAGTTCAAGTGAATCACTTTGGGTTTTACACTTAGTAAAACTTGAACTCTAACAAGGCAACAAAACTAAAATTATAAAAACGTATAGTATTCAAATCCCTCACAAATGATTAGGCAAAATCGTATTATTTCCAAAAAAAAAAATGTGTTTGAATTGTTATTATTACAAACGATGAATGTTTATATTTCGTGTACCAAAACTAGCACATGTTTTTTGTTTGGCAATTTTTATAAAAAAATTCAAAACTTTAATAGAGAGTTTCATAACAAAACATGTATCATGCTTTTATTAAAAACATGAAACAATAGAATATTTTTTGGAAATGTTATCATTTTCACAGCACTCAACCGTAGAGAGTAGCTCTTCTAATCAAATTCCGAAATAAGTCATGCATCTAAATCAACTTCACTTCTTAGAGCTTGTTGCCTTTCCAACCCCACTTTAAAGTTTGGAAAAAGTATTATCACTTTCCCCGGCGGCCTTTCACACGTTTTGTGATCTGTTATCATGTGCCAGCAATTGATCTCTTGTACTTGCCAGTCGTGAGCTCATTCTGCTTCTGGATCCATCGCCCAGTTGTGATCGTGTGCTCCAAAGGGGGTACCACTATGCAGTGAATACAATGCTATACATATATCTGCTTATTTCTAGCTGAGGTGAGCTATCACCTCTTTCCCGCCTCGTTTTCAAACAAAAACATTTCCAAATTGCCATAAAACGTTTCCAACAGTGTTTATGTACAGGGTCTTTGTGGCTTTTTGTTGTGCGTTTCAATGTTTCAATAATGAACAAGCACTTCTCACCCAAAAGAGATGGTACACAAAAATATATTTATTCGCGCATCATCGAGTTCGGACTGATTTATTTTATTCAATTTGTGGCCAGTTCTTTTTGTTAGGGGAGAATATTCCATTTGATTGTGCTGAACTCATTTCCCCAGCAGCCTCAGCCTGCCCATTGTTATTGTTGTGTTTATACAAGTCCAATTAGGCTGGATCAGCAGACCTTGCCTACTATATATATGTGAATCGGACACCGTTGCGGTTCTGGGCCACCCAAAAGGCCCGACTCGAGTTGCAATAGAAAAAAAACTGGGGCACAGATGATAAGCCTTTGCCATTGTAACTCACTTTCCTGCACTTCCAGTGGGCCTTCCTATGCTGGGCTTCTCGCTGTGGGGCGAAGCCTTCAGGCGCGGCTTCTTCTGCAATGATTCTTCGCTGAAGCATCCCTACAAGGAGTCCACCATGCCCAGCTGGGTCCTCTACTTGATCTGTGGCGCTCTGCCCTTCTCAGTGGTAAGTTTGCACTACTTTTCGGCTTGCTTTTCCAATAACTAATTGGTTTTCCCTCGCTAGATGCTCGTGGTGGAGTTCTTCAGAGCCCAGGACAAGCGTTCGCATGACCCATTTAAGAAGCACAGACTGGGCAGTGGCTATCATCTCTGCCATCTCGAGTTGCCCACTTGGCTGCTGGAATGCTATCACAGAATAGGAATCTTCATCTTCGGCTTGGGCGTGGAGCAGCTGACCACCAATATAGCAAAGTATTCGGTTGGCAGACTAAGGCCGCACTTCTACACTGTAAGCCTTTGAAAGTCTCTGAAGTATTTGAAATAACTTCTCCAATTCGGATTGCAGCTCTGTCAGCCTGTTATGCCAGGCAGCACCAATTGCAGTGATCCCATAAATGCTGGACGTTACATCGAGGATTTCACCTGTGCGGCAATGGACATAACTTCGAAGCAACTGAAGGACATGCGCCTCTCGTTTCCCAGCGGACATGCTAGTTTCGCCTGCTATTCCATGCTCTACTTAGTGGTGGGTTTGCATCTACTTGCCTTGAATAGAACTCCTAACTCAACCGATCTCTTCCAGATCTACTTACAGCGCAGGATGCACTGGAATCGCCTGCGAATGCTGCGGCACCTCTTCCAGTTCCTGCTGCTCATGTTCGCCTGGTACACGGCTCTTTCCCGAGTCTCCGACTACAAACACCATTGGTCCGATGTCTTGGCAGGATCTGGCATCGGGCTCACCTACGCGGTTATTGTGGTGGGTTTCGAATATTTACTCTGTGAAGAAATCCCTTAAACTAATGCGTTTCCCTTGCAGACCTCGACTATGTGGTAATGGGGATCCCCGACTTCAAGGGGTTGTAAACCCCTCAACCCACCGCGCTGAGCTGCTTTCGCTTTAAGATGTCTCGTCTGCTGAACTTTCAGTTTTATCCTAGTTTTAACTTTGACCACGTCTGCAAAGAAGTATATATTTATCTATGTGTGAAAGATTTTACTTAATAAATTTCAGTTTAATGTGTTTTCCCCCTAACATTCCGTGTTGATTGCAACACTTTATTTGGGTCATGGAGTTCCCTCGTAATATTTCATAAGACTAATATTGAGAAATGCATTGCACATGCCACTCTTATCTGTAAACAAAAACCGTTGGCATTCCAAATCACAATCTTTGCACCTAACTGCATGGCAAATTATTCATGAGAGGACACTCCCCGAATCAAGTTTCTTTGGCAAATGTCGAAATCGGGGGGTCCAGCGATTAATGGCCTCGCCGATCGCGCCAATGCAAATCAATTGATATGATCTGTGTAAGAAATGACGAAATTATGTGAGCAAAACAAGCAATTTAAATCAAATTACACAAGGAAATGTCCTTGACAGCAGAGATTAATAACCCCAAACTATTGGCGACTTTGCCAGCTTTGGGTTTTAGGTGCCAGTTGCAACCAGCTGGCCATTAGTTTCTCGAGGGGACTTGGCCAGATCTGGAAACCTGTCTGGCGGACAGTGGCTATATTGAGAGATCTCTGATCTATGGCTAATTAGCAATTGGCGCAGAGTCAGCAGACCAATTTGTGGTTTTTAATTACTCCGCGGCACCTCAGCATCCCCTCCCCCTCTCATCCCGAAACGCAGCCGATCAATTTGCATTTGATTTGCATATTAAACGAATTTATTGCCCTGGCCACTCAGCGAGATGAACAGGAATCGAAACAGGAGGCAGGAGCCGCCGGATGATGCATCACTCAATCAGGCGGGGAGACAGCCAAGTGCCACTCACTCACTTTGTCCGCGCAGCGGTTGTTACTGTACAGTGAACACCATTCCGGCTATCAGCACTCAGCCACTCGGACATCCCGGGGAGATTGATGTGGCCGTAAAAGATCGCAAGACAAATTCGATGGAGTGGATCGCACTGAGCTTCGATTGGAGCCTTCCCAACAATTAACACAATTTTTTATTTCGCTTTTATCGCATAATGGCATGGCATTTCTCCCCATCCCCAGCCCCAGCCGATTCCCCAATTTTCCCCATTTTCAATTGCCCGCATCTGCTGTCAATTTCAGCTTTTCCCGATTCCGCTGATGTGGGGAGAGATTCGGGTTATACGCGTGTCTGTCAATGGCTTCAAGTTTATGTCGAAACCTCTTCAGAAAAGTTTCCCCATTCTAACCCGAAGAAAGCAGATGCACAAAACTAAACTGGCCAAGAAGGGGGAGGGGGTGAATCATAGTCTATGACAATCGCCAGCGGGTTGGCAATTTTCGACAGTCGGCACTATAATGAAAATTGCACAGCAAATTTCAGGCGCGAAATTCATTTCGAGGCATGAAAATCGCAACAACACCGTGGAACAAAGAGGCGAAACGCCCCTTTATAGAAGGGAGAGGACCGGGTTTCCATTTATAAATTATTACATGGAGCACAGCTTGATACCCTAAGAAGATGGAAAGTATTGCATGAAAATATATTCATTTGCCAGAGTTCTGTAAGAGTCATAAAAAAGTATGTTCTAAAAAGTATATCAAGCGTGACAAACTATTAAAAAATGTTGCTATGAACTTTGTGAGCTTACAGATATCTCTGCAACATGTGACAAAACCACATTTTTAGAAAACCTCTTTGGAAAATGGTCGATGAATCATGCAAGTCTGTTAAAACTTCGTAAATGACATTTATGTACGTCAGTATGATTTATATCAGTTGCCTATCTATTTGCATTCATGAATGTAGAATTTATATCTATTAAAAGTATTATTTACAGGAGCTGCTTTGTGTGTCTATCACATTGGTACGTCACTTCAATAGTAACCCATTGTTCGATTCCTTTTCGCACTTACCCTACTTGCTCTGGCTGCAACCATATTATCCTACTTCGCCGGCGGGCAGAGGCCACAATTCATACCTGGAACCCAGGCGTTAAATTTGTCCGGCACGTACAGCGCGATAGGGAAAAAGGAGGCGGACGGGGGGCGGTTGGCAGGAGGTCTCTGAGATCGCAGGACGTGGGCAGGCGTGGGCATTTCAATCAGTGCTTGACCGCAGCCTTTTGTCCCGATTTCCCACCGGGTTTGGTGGGTTTGTGTGTACGTGCAACGTGTGCAACCTCACAATAGGAGGCCTGTTGCACCGACATGTCCTGCTCGCCCACAAAAGCGACTCTCTGGCATGGCATTTTCCCCTTTCTGTGGGCGTTGGCAATTAGCCTTCGATCTAAACGCTTATTAATGAGTTCAAAGCGAGCTTTCTGGCCCGAGGGCAGGATCTATAAATCTCGGAGATCTGCGGATAAGACTGGAGTTACGTTTAGCCAGGAGGCGTTACCCAACGAATCAGATTTATGCGGATATTAGGGAATACTCGTTACCTGGGCAACACCTCTTAGTTACGTTGCACCCCGATGGCTGTTAACAAATGTTGCAGCATTGTTCTTGAGATATTTCCATTCGAATGCATTTCCCCGGCGCATTTGGCAAATGTTGTCACGACTCAAAGTGTCACATAAATAACCCAGCCAGCCACCCCTTTCGTGGGCTAATGACGCGCCGTGAGGATCCCAGCAGGCAGTTCTGAGTTCTGAGCCGACTTTGACACCTTCCTTTGAAAATGCGCCGCCTGGCTTTTCCAGGCTTCCTACGGTTCACTTGGTTCTCCGTTCTCCGTTCTCAGTTCTCAGGCCTGGCTGGATCCGAAGTCGAAACTGCGTGATGCATGGGATCGTGTTATGTAACTGGACAGGCTGCACGGGGGGGAGGGGGTGGCTACTTAGCTATGCATTGGGTACAGAGAAAAAAAAGTGACTCTAGGAACTCGTTCTGTAAATCAAGAACTGCGTTTTCTTTATATTTTCAGAATAATCTGTTTTGAAGAAGATGATCTCACATCAAAACAGCTATTTTTTGATTGATTGCAGTAATTTAGACTTTTGATTTGAAAAATTGCTGCAAAACTTAATTAAAACCCGATGTGCAAAGCGGTTTAAAAAAAAAGAAAGAAGAATTTTCTACATGACAGATTGGTTTTAAGCCAACATCAAAAATAAAGAATTTATGAAATAGGAACATGACAAATAAACATTAGTAGATATTGTAAAACAAACATGTTTGGAAGATTATCCCCAAAATAAGGAAGTAAACCAGAAGGCTTATTTGACTTTTTAATTGATATTCCCAGTGCATCCTTTATGAGATACGAAGTACTTCACTTGGTTGTTTGGACAGTAAACAAGAGCCTGGCACATTATAAGTAAACACCCCATGTACGCCGGGAATGGATGAGCACAGATTACCTCGACCGGGCTAATCCTCCTGAAATTGCTTATCGACATCGGGAAACTCTACCAAATGACCCGCTATTGGCCATTTGGCTAAGTACACTTCAATGGAAATTGCTGCGGCAATTTGCCACTCGCCCCCTCCCCCCGAAATCCCTGCCCCGCACTCTTTTAATTGAATAAACACAGCGGTTAGTGTGTTTACATTTTAAGTGCATCAGCAGTCGCTGCAACGTGCAACGGGCAACGGGCAACGTGCAACAGTGGCAGCTGCTGCCGGCGACATGGTCAGCGATCAACTCTAATTAGCGGCAACCAGTTGAGGAGACAAGCGCCGCAAACGGCGGAAGCGGTCAATTATAAATACTCCGAGGAGTCGGGTGGAGAGGGGGCCTAAAGTTCCAGGTCCTGTCAAAGTGTCAGAAATATTGTCAAAGTCGCTGCTCGAGCCACACTTACAAGCCAAACTGATCGATAGTCCAGCTTCCATAACTCAAATTATTTTTATAAAATAAATTAAATTATTTTTATTAAATAATTCACTGAATTTCAGTCGAAATGATTTAGATGGATTTCTGGCAAAATTGCATTAAATCATAAAAATAGACCTGTAGATCTGCCAAAGCTTCACTGTACCAACAGTCGCATTTGCATACGGCCCGCTGGCGGCTGGCCAAGCTGGTCAGCTTCCACTGTGACGTTGATGGTGGGCATTATCACGGATTTTATTTTTATGCCGCCCGTGCGTGATACGCTTTTCCTTATCGCTGCCATCGCCTGATTTATATCAGTCATAAATAAAATTGCAATATGGTATCCAAATATGAGGCGTGATATGAGTGCGGCTTTCGATCGATGGTGAAGATGAGTCCGGGGACTCTACAGAAAGCAGAATATATGGTGTTAGTTTTTGAAATTCCTAATAGATATCAATATCGTAAACCTTGTTCATTCCTATACTTTAAAACATATTACTTGTAAACCGTTACTTGTAGAGTAAAAGGGTATACTGCATTTGTTGAAAAGAATGTAACAGGTCGAAGAGAGCACTTGCGACCTCATAGAGAATTTATATTTTTGATCAGAATCATAGGACGACTCGATCTATGTCTGTACCTTTTTGTATGTCCGTCCTTATTAACCTCGAAATCTCGAGAACATTTAGATTTAGAATATTAGGATTAAATATTTAAATACTTCTTAATTTTGAACAGGCGGGTGGTTCGATAACACAATTTTCGATTGAATGCAACTCTTCTTTTTAGCAAGGACCCAAACCTGACAGGAATACCAAAATCACCATTTCTTGCTGGTATTTTTAGTTGCTTGCAAACTACATCCACTACAGGCGCGGTGTTTAAACATATTTGCCAATGTAATTTCCATCTTGATCTAAATGAGATGGCGCACAAAATGCATGTTTATCGTGCAGGTGATATTAAAAAAAAATTGAAAATAAAAAGCTTCAAAAATAGTTCTACAAATTGCATAATTTAAGCGTTTTGTTTTAAACGGTGTAATTGGAAAATTATTAATTAAAATTTGCTACTTTTAGGAAAACGGTGCACTTAACATTTTCTGTTAGACAACAGGGCCAGCGGGGGCACCAACCATCTTTCCACTAGTTGGCAACCAGTCTTCATGGAAGAAATAGTACATTTCCTTAAATTAGTAAGCAACAATATTTGCATCGATGATTTTCGGGCACTCTAAAATTTTTCACTACGTCGTTCGGACGCGTCTCCGTATTTAATTTTTAGGATAGTTTATGTTTATAGGCGAGTTAATTGAATATCTGCCCTGAGCAGAGGAGAAGGTGAAACAGCCGCCTGCCCTGCTTTGTGTGTTTGTCTTGTACTCACTTATCGTAGAGCCGCGCGTCCCTCGCTCTTTCTTTTTCTCTTTTAACTGAATTGTGAAACGTAAAACGCTAAATAGTTCATTTAATATTGCTGTTCTCGCACAACAAATCACCAGTCCAAACAGCCAGCAGCAATTTATATAATATTGGAAAAATACAGAAAAGTAAAACAAAACGCTCACACGGACTGCCAAATTGATAGGCGGAGAATGTGTGTGTGTGTGTCTATCAACGAGATCGAATAGCGAAATGCAAAAGCGTTTTTCAATTGAAAAGCGGGCGACAGGAAAGTGAAAATTAACGCGGTTTACGACGCATTTGCATTCGGAACGAATTCAGTGAAAACCAGTGAAAATGTCGAGTGCAGAAGACGGCGAACTGGATCCGCAAATTCAGGTGATTTTACTTGGCAATGTGCCTTTGTCCTTCCTAGTTTTCCCCCCTCAGTTTCTCCTTCGTTCGTACCTGGCACTGAATTGAACGGTATTTTAACGACAATAACAAACGTCAGACTGCTTTGTTTTTGTTTTTTCTGTTGGTCTCTTTTGCATTGCAACTTTGGTTGGTACAGTGCTCCCTCGAAATCCAAGGGTGGCGGCTGTTACAAATTTAAAATTCTTTTAAAAAAGGTAATGGTATTCTAAATGTAATGGTTTTTAAATTAAAGTTGGCAAAGGAATGTTATTGTTTTACATTTTAAACGACTAGTCACTCATGCCACGGTAGTTATGAGCGAGTGTTTACTTAAAAACAAAACAGTATTTTTAAAATAGGAAACAGGCGTTTTTGCATTGCATTTCGTTACTCATTTATTGCGTGAACCTTTTTTACGCTTTGTTGGTTTTTAAATACGAAAAACCAACACAGAAAATCAACACAGCGTTTAGGCAAATTGAAATTTCCTTTTTCCGACGAAACAGTTCAATATGCATTGTGAAATGCACAATACAAATGGTGCCCTGAAGAGTGTCAAGTAATCCCACGCACTTCCAAGTAATTTGGATTTTTCCGCTGCGAATTTGAACTCGGTACCTAAATAAGATTCAAGTGCAGCTTGGTTATTGCTCTTTATCTTTCGCCTCTTCTTCGTCGCTCCTCTCTTCGCTTTTTCGGGAGAGGTATGCATACAAATTTAATAAATGGAAATACCAAAGCGCACACGCAAGCCGAAGCAGCAACAAAAACAAAAGCCTTTTGTTTTTATTTTGATTCGTATTATTTTTTATTGTGTAAGTCAGACAGTACAAAGTGTCTTGAGGAGCGGTTCGTAGTTTGCATATATTAAGATTTATATGCTGCTCATTCAACTACGTAAAATAATCGCACATTCGTTTAATGGCCTTAAATGGGAAAAAAAGCAGGAGTCTGTTGGTAAAAAAAAACAGCACCCTTTGGAAAAACAAAAGAAATTTGTAATTTACGCGATGCGAATCTAATACGTATGTATTAAATTTGTTTATGCATCAGAAAATAACAATTGTATTATTTCCGTGAAAAACACTAAGAGCTAGGCGGATCAATGATTTTCCCTTGTGAATCCCCCTGGCATTCATAAGAACATCCCGCTCTAGACCTCCAATCTTATCTATTTTTAAATGCAAAACCCAGTGGGAGACGTCACACGCGGCGCAAAGTCATTAACAACATTTTGATTTCAAGTCTCACAAGACGGCATGTGACTAGATTGAAGACGTCGATAGTGTCCTAAGGTATATGCATGGGAAAATTTACTGGAGGTACTCCTGGACCTACAGACAGAACGATCGTTTTCTATAAACAATCATTAGCGTGTCTATAAACAAAGTTTGCTACGCTAAACTGTACCGAAACCGGTTTAGGAATTCTATTACCGAAAACGCAAAATATTTCGCTCTGGCTATTTTTGCCTTCTTTTTCAATGTTTTTTATGCTCGACTTCCTCTTTAGACAAGCCGACTTTGTTGTCGGACGCAAGATACTTCAATCGTCAATAATTTTTCAATGAGAGTATTATTTGCTTTTTTTCGCGCGTGCAAACTTTGTTATCTAAAAAGATTTTTTGTGTTGATGACGACAAACAATTGATTTTAAGGCGATGGCGCAAAGTCTATTTGAATAAAATCGTGTGTCTCGACAGATGTTTTTTGTTTCCTCTAAAATTCTTTTCTTTTTATTTCTAAATACAACTCACACGCGTTAGTTGGCTAAAGAATAAGTTATAAGCGTGCTTCGGGCCCGAAACTTTCTAAAACCATACGAATGCATAATTTAGCGTTACTTATCGATTATACGATAATTGCTTTAATTAAGAAACAAAAGGGAATTTGTTTTATATTCACAGAAATTATAGGAAAAAGCTTTGCAGCAATTTAAAAATAATGTTTACCTTGCCCTCCATTTGATAATGGTAATCAGATTAGCAGGGGAACTTTAGGCGCAAGTCAAATTGATAAAAATTAAAAATGACTAATGACTTTTGGATACCCGAGGCTCCATTACGTAAGCAAGGTGAGAGTACAGGTGTCGGGAAATAGAGAACTCGACGAAGGCGCCTATGAATCAGAAATTGTTAGTGAGTCAACGTTTATAATAAATGCATATCGGGTGCCCCCATAATAATATTATAAATCTTTATAATTATATTATGCGAAGTTGTTTGATATTTTAAATATAAAGTATCAAAATCATGGACTCTTAATAATTTTTTTAGCGAATAAAAAGAAAGTTACTTAGTGGCAGCGGTGGGATTCGAACCCACGCCTCCGAGGAGACTGGTGCCTTAAACCAGCGCCTTAGACCGCTCGGCCACGCTACCCGCAATTATGTCAAGTCCGTGGCGGAACGTGAATTACACTGTCACAAATAAACGGCCTTTTTGAGAAGGTTTGTTTTTTTAGTTAACGGAACGTTTTGTAACCTTTTGACGGGTGCAATCCCCCAGAGGTTCCTCAACCACCATCATCAAAATATCATTATAGTCAATGATGCAAAACAGAGTAGCGACTTTCGCGAGCGGTTACCGCACTCAATTTTCCATACAATTTCAGACTTAATGAATTAAGTTTTGCCTTTGCTTTGTTCGCTCGTCGGAATTGTTAATGACATTCAATGAATGGTGCCTATGTAGTTGAAGTAGGCAGTCATTTCCTGCTTTATCAAATCAGTAGAGATAGTATTTATTAGGAGCAATCTTATCAGTCATGAACTTAAAACTGCAATTTTTAACACATCAAAAGAGCTTGATAAAGTTTGTGCGAACCCAAATTGAGCTAAGTTGACCCTTGATCTAGATTGCCGGTCATAAAGAGAAAGTTAAGAATTTAACTTAGCATAGCAATTGAAAATAATTTGTTCAAAGTGGGTCAGCCACACGAATTTTCAACGCAGTGGTTGTCTGATTTTTTCGGCTCGCTGTCGTTCATTTGTACCAAGTTGACATAACTCTAATAAAAAATATAAAAAACCTTATGCGGTCAATTGCAATCGTCAAGCTACGTTGACTTAATTTTCGAGTCGCCTGACCTGACATTCACTCACGCATTGCTGCTGGATTTTCCTTTATATAACAATAATTTTTACCTACCGCCGAGAATTTCTCAGCAGTGCCACTTTTGTTTCTCTTATTTCTGCAAGTCGGAGGTATTTTCCATACAATTGTCGCATTATTTTAGTCCCATGACGTAGATTTCCGCCTGAGTTGAATGTCCTACGATTTCCTGCGGCGTCCTTTTTGTTGCGCAAGGCAAATCGATGTAAATTTTATGTAGGTTTCCATTACAGTTCCTTTTTGCCAAAGTCCGAAGTCCCAGGAAAGCGGGTGGTTTAGGGAGGACGGGGGAAAGCCTGTCACCAGCGGATGTAGGTCAGGTCAACCTCGTCGGCATCACGCCACCGTCGCAAAGGGCAGCTGGCGTCATTGCGGAACTGGAAAACATTCAGCGGAACTGAAGGGAGTGGCGGGAACAAAGTAGGGTTTCACTAAGTAGGGAGTAGAACATCCAGAGTGGTCGGGACAAGCTAATAAACTAATCACATGATGTCCAATAATGAGGTAGGGTGATGATGTTACAGGATGGAAAACGGGTGTCATCAATTAAGATCAAATAATTTGGTAAATTCTTTAGTTTAAGTTTATGGATATCCAGTTACTAGAAAACACGTTTAAATATAGATATTTTCTATTGTGTCTTGTTTATCTTTAAATAAATTACGAAAATAACGCCCCAGACTGACGTGTTACTAGGCAAACAGTCGTCTTCTCCGATTATCCATCCATATAAAATGTGTGGGGGTGGCGCCCTCGTGTCTGACAAATTGTTTTGGATCCTAACGAGCCGCGCTCACGTCATCTTCTCCTTGGTGTTTCTCTAGTCTAGGGACGCTCCTGGTTTTAACCTTTCGCATTTGATTGGCTTTATTCATAGTCTGTGACTCAAGTTGAGCTTCAGTCGCCCTTTGGCAACGCGGTTCTGACAAATGCAAAATGAACGTGACGCAGTCCGTCCGCACATCGCGTGATTTGGTAAGGTTTAGGCCAGGCCTCGTTCCACTCGTCTTTGACCCTGTTGAAAGCATTAAATTTAGCGAATTAAATCAATAATTGAAGGGGAGTTCCATTGGGAAAGTTATGTTTGTTGTTTTTCATATCTTCGAGCGAACAAAGCATCGTTCTGTTCAAATTATCTTAGAACATTTTGAGTAAAATATTCCGCATATTTACACAATCGCGTTACCCCAATTGCATTTCGGTTGTTTTCTCGTGAAGTTGTGCAAATATTTATTCAATTTGCGTCGCCGTTTCGTCATTTAATTTATGCACAATATTTTTTGTTTATTTGATGATAATCAAATATTTTTTTGCAAAGCCACACACAGCTGCCTTGACGGGTAAATATGTTAGCCTTTTTTCAGTATTTACGATGGACTCGCATTGTAATAAAATGTTTTTATGATATTTACTCGTATGATTGTGCGTCATTGGCGAAGAAGGGCGTATGGAGGAGCTAGAGGTGGTTATGCCGTCTAGGGCCCTTAATCACAGTAGCTGTAGGCTTACCTTTGCTTGGGGTTTTTTCTCTACTCAATTGCATTTGAAACTGTTAAAAAGTGAAGGGCAAACAAGTGAACTTTTCATTAGCCAATAGTTTCCTTAGGCAGCGAATGCAGCGAAATGCACGAAACAAGTTCCTGGGGCCGCAGAATTCCTGGAAAGTTCAAGTGTTAAAATGCTCATCTGAGCCGCCGGATGCCCAAACTGGTTTCGTTTGTTTACACGAGAAACCAGTTTGCGAGTTTTAGAGGTTCGCTCGCACTTTGCTTGGTCTTGGCTCTTAAATCAATCTCGATTACAGAGGCGACTCGAGCGTGCCCTTACCAAAGCCCCCGCCTTCATCTCTAGTTTATGTATGTCCGGGATGTGGAGAAATGTTCAACGGACACGATAAAAATCAAACTGGGACAGCCTTAATAAAAGCTGCCGTAAAAAAAGGGGCAGAAAACACGAAAAAAAATTATAATTAAAACCAGTTTTTCGACAACAATCTGCCGTGGGTCCCAAACTGAAATTCCGAAAAAACACAACCAAAAAGCCCAAACAAAAAGCTGTAACCGCATGCAGTTCACCGATCCATGAACACAAGCCCGCCGGCTGTCGCCATGTAAATGGTAAATCCGCAACCGGGAAACCTGACATTTAAAACGGCTATGAGGATTTATTTTGAAAAATTGTTTGACAAAAATAAAGGAGTTCGTTCATGCCCATCACAATAATGCAATTGTTTAGGGAATCAAATTATAAACTTTTAGAAATATGCCTCGGCAAAATCGAATCAAAATTAGAAAAGTTAGGGACTTAGAAGTAATGAATTTTGGTCATTTTTTATTAAAGACCACATCTCATTTCCCATTATCGCATGTACAAATTTCTTTTCGTTTAACCTTTTTGAATTTTTATTTAACCATCGTTTTACGTATGTACACGCCTTAGGAACTACTTAAATGATCGCTGGACTACGAATACATTTTTATAGGAAAATAAAATGCATTGACAAAGAATACGAAACAGAATCTCTAAACGCTGGAAACTAAGGACAGGGCAGCCATTTGTTGTTGATTAGATTTAGTTTGTTGGGCTGTTGTGACTCTCATGGCTTTTGCTGGGACTATATCTATGCACTGGATACGGGGGATCCAACATCTAGACGAACTCATAGCCGATGCCAAACTGGAAACCATTCAAGATCTTATCCGTAGCCTGGCGTCGCACTGGCACACAATAGTTGAGTTCGATCCGGGCCCTTTCTGCTAGTTTAACCGCCAAACCAACGCCGAATGCACTGCGCATATTTTCTGTGGAGGGAATAACAATTAAAACCAAGTTTTTTATGAATGTAATAAGTGCCAACCTGTGCTGAAATTGTTGCTGTTGCCAATGTTGTAGAAGAAATGCATTCTAAAGTGACTAGCCAGGTTTTTGAAGACTCCGGCGAAGGGAAGCGGTGCCCACAGATGGGCACCCGTGCACCAGAAAGTCTGTGCCCCAATGGGTGTCCCATCAATTACGGGTCCAGCTCCTCCAAACTTGAATCCTCTCAGGGTCAGTGGTCCGCCGCAGTAGAACAGCGAATTAATAGGCAGCTGAGTGGTGTTTTTGGTCTCTTTAACGACGCCAACACGACCGCAAAACTGTGCCACCAATCCGGCAAACAGTGGCACATTCAACTCGCCGTGGGCAGTGCTGCTGGTGTAGGCGATGTTACCGCCCAATCCGCAGTATTCGTTAACTGATTTCAGGAAAACACCGCGGGTGGGGAACACGTTGCCATCGCGATTATCATAAACCACGGAGTAGCGCACCAAAGAGGCCAATTTGGGTCCACAGTGGTCGCGAATGGCAAAGGGCACAGATTTGTTAAGCAATCCCAAGTCTCTTATGGAATTCTCGTACTGCAGCGAGTGCGTCAACTGAAACGAAGGGGTATCGTCATAGTAAGAAGATTAATACAAGAGTGTCTTTGACGTACATCTACTCCCAACATTGTGTGTGCCGAGAAGTCCACATTGTAGCCCAGGTTAGTAGTTTGAAAGGAGCTGATGTCAAATCTATCTGTTTGTCTAAAAATGCTAAAGGATAATCTGTGGAAAAAATTAACATACTGATTAATTAATGATTAAATCAAAAAGGGAAGCTCTTTCTTACTCAGGTCGATTTTCCCTAAAGCGAGTGTGGAAGAAGGGTTTCCAGAACTTCAGTTGAAGATCATTGGCCCTGGTGCTGCTGTAACTGCCCTGCAGCGAAATGCTCTCTCCTCGGCCGAAAATATTAGGGATCGTCAGCTCTGTTCGCAGGGAGCCTTCGTTCTGGCCAATCTCAGTGCCGGCAGATCCCATCATGCGCGACATTTCGTTGCCCTTAAAGGTCACCTCGTATCCCTGGGGCGTGGCATCAGCTCCACGACTGATGTCGATGTGCACGCTCACATCCTTGAAGATTCCCAGTTCATGCAGATAGGATTTAGTAGACATAGCCTCCAACATTAGATCCTGGAAGTTGTTGGCCTTAAAGAGTCCATCCGCCGCCCTCATCACATAGTCGTTGTGGGTGCGGAGCAAACCGCTGACATTGACGCGATCCACGCGGGCTGAGATCTTGGTCAGGTCGTACTTGGAGTCCTTGGGCGCAGCCCCGTCGCGAGCCGACTGAGGCATCTTGCTGGTTTCGGTGGGCAGACGTTAAGCAAATACTGAAATACAGAATGGGAAACTATTTAATGCAAAGAAACTAATCAGAAATTATCTTTTATTTACAGATTGAACTGGAGAATCTCAATAGTGCAACCGACGAGATTAACAAATTAGAAATTGAACTAGAGGTAACACAACTACTTTTCATTTCTTAAAAAACCAAACTTAAATGTATTATGTTTTCGTTTTAACAGGAGGCCAATTCGACATTTCGCATTCTGCTAAATGAGTCTACGCGCCGCCTGAAGTTGTCCTCCAAGAAGTTGGGCAACTGCATTGAAAAAGCTCGACCTTATTATGAGGCTTTGGACAAGGCACGTGAGGCTCAAATCGAATGTCAGAAGGCGGCAGTTAAGTTCCAAAGAGCTAATGGTTCGTATTAACAAAGTACGTCCTTTGGAATAGTCATAACTCGACCTTCTTGTTTAGAAATCCATGCCGCGGCTAAGGAAACGGTGGCGCTAGCCGAGCAGCGTTTCATGTCCAACTCACACGAGTGGCAGTTCGACAATGCTTGGCAGGAGATGCTCAACCATGCCACCCAAAAGGTAATGGATGCTGAGACCCAGAAAGCCGACTGTCACGCAGAACATCAGAGGCGCACCAAGCTCTTCAACACGGCCGAGCAAAAGTTACAGCAGCTGGAGGATCGCTTCCGGCGAAGCATTAACAAGTCGCGTCCGTACTTCGAGGAGAAGCAGGTTTGCCAGGATCAGCTGCAGACGCAAAAGAATCGCATCCAAGAGCTGCAGCAGCAGGTCGCGGGTGCCAAGAGCACTTACTCCACGGCGTTGCGCAATCTGGAGAGGATCAGCGAGGATATACACAGACAGAGGGGAGACTTTCCCACTCCGCCAGGACCCCGCGAGCCGGGTGTGGGAGCGGAGCTAAACTCGCCGACTTCCAGTGCCTTGCCATCGTTGCCGGACTTCCAGCTGGAGCTGGAGAAGTGCGACTATCCCTCCATAGCAGGCAGTCAGATGTCCTTGGGTGCTAAGACACCTCAAGCATCTGTCGAAACTGAAGACGAGGAGGATGCCTGCGACTACGATGAAACGGGAGCTGGAGAACTCAGAGGCGTGGTGGATGAACGGGATTTGGAGGCTCTACGCCAGAAGGTCAAGATCCTGGCAGTGCGTCCCATTGAGGGTGGCGATGGTCAGCAGCAGAATGATGTATGGGAGCATGAGCTAAAGGCCACGGTGGACAAACTGGATCACTTGATGATGCTCAAGGAAACAGCAAAGAGGCAGGAAACGAACCGCTTGAAGTCCACCGAGCAGCGACCCGATTCGCTGGGCGCCGAGGCCCTGAAACGCCACAGTGATGAGGTGGAGGTAAAGATTACTACCTGTGCCGCCGCCGCCAGCTTGCCAGTCACACCCCACCATCAGCCGAATCACCTTGCACCGCCCACGCCCATCAAGAAGCTGCAGCAGCAGTTGGCCCCCTTGCCCTCGGTGAACGTCTCCATGCGGGAGTTGCCCCTGCTGGCTAGGCTTTCTAACGAGCTCCTCGATCGCAGCAGTGCTGCCTTCGGAGGAGTGCGCAAGCAGTTACGCAGGCGCTCCCTGGAATAGTGAGCGGCTTGGGGGGCGGAGGAAACTTTCGCAGCCAGCCCCATATCAGATTTGTTTATATTAAATGAATAATGAAAATTAATTGTAAAACGTTAAACGCCGCATTTAAATGTGCACCACTCTCAATAAGTCTACACCTACATGATATAAAAAAAACAAAACCATCTATTTTCGTATAAATGTTGATTACATTCTAATCTAATGTCTCCGTACTTGTTTCTCACTGTTAATACTTTAACTATGTAAATGTTTTGTGATTCGAGAGAGCGAAAAGAAAAGGATTGATTGATATGCAAACAATAAGCAGCTTTAAGTTAATGTTTAAACCCTAAACTAATAAAACAAGCAGACTCACTAATTTAAATCAAATGGGCACATGCACTAAATAGTTTAGCCTAAAAATACCACGAAAATGTAATTTGGAATAAAAACAAGTGTCGAAATGTAACGAATTCAATTAGATAATTAAGTGAAGAACTCTCAAAGCAAAGTGGAGTGGTCCAGAGATATGGTCGGTGCCCCTAAGTAAGGGAACGAAAGAAAAGTATTTGCAACAGGATAAATAATAGTGAAACTGGAATAATAATAAAGTTGCATTAAATTTCAATGTCTGAATGGTGTTTTATTAAAGTGGGTACGCGGGGTCTAGCTCTTTTTCTAAAGTTATGTGGGAATACTTTAAATTTAGGGACTGACATTTAAAGGGGACTTTGAATGATGCAACTGCAGCCGAAATAGTGCAAAGATAATTAAGAACACAGAACTAATATGTCACAGGTTCTATAAATCTCGCAATGATGTCATTTTTGCTGCATTGAAAGCCGAATTTATTGGGAAAACAAATGTACTGTCCTCAAATTATGTAAGCCCGTCATTGTATCCAATGGCAATCAGCTGACCTACCTTTGAATAGGTACTGCCTCTGCAGGTGGGTGGGCACACACGAATTTAGGATTTAGTTTCACTTGTGTTTTAAGAACTACAAAATATATTTAACCGAGCACACAAATATTCCCAATTGCTCTCGACTGAAACGCGTGCGGCACCGAAAATCAACAAGCTTCTTCTTCTTCTCCCCCAGTGCTGACTTACTGGGTAGGAAATAGCTAGATAAGCACCCAAAATTGAATAAAGAAACGTTTGTCACTAACGTGTCTTTCGTTTTTTCCTTACTGCATTTTTTTCATAACTATAGTTTTGGTTAAAAATAAAAATTATTTCCAACCCCACCCAGTACTAAACAAATCAGCATTAAATAAAAATATATTTGGCGGTAAATCAGATTTAGTGGGCAGCCAAAGCGAACGGTCACACTGCTAGTGGTGGGGAAATTATCGAAAAGGCGCATTTATATTTAAATGTCACGGATCTGATAATAGAATATTTCATTTTTTTTTTAAATAAATTCCATTTAAAAACTGCCATAATTGCTAAATTGTAGCCTAAGACTTTAGCGGAGTGCCTTGTAAAACCTTCTGTTTATTACATTTTTTAAACCTTCAGCATTGAAGAAACATAACTTACTAATATGTACTATGCCTTCAGAGGCACTGTTCATTGTCAAACTAATCCTTAAGCTAAACAATTACATCTAATACTTCTACTGTTTTTTTACTTTGGTGCATCTGATACCCTTTGATTGCAGCTTACGCATGATGTCGAGGGTTTCTTGATTTTTGGTTGGATTTTGATCGTTTGGAGGAGTGCCATTTAACCGGGTATTTCCCCGCTTTACCTCCACGCCGCAGGCTCTAAGTTTGTTCAGGATCTTTTGAGTTCCATCCATGGGTGGTTTTTCTATCGCAGGACTTACTTTGGTTGTCGCCGGAGCTGTAGGCTTTTGAGATGTTATGGGTGGAGTGGATCTTTGAGATGTCCTGCGAGGAGGTTTTTCAGAGTCCGCTACAGGAGGCAGCTTAGGTGACCTCGAAGGAGGTATTTGAGATTTTCTAGCAGTTGGTGAACGAGATGCATGCTGAGCCGCTGGAGCTGCGCGAGTGTTCTGCTCCTTTTTGGGGGACTCCTGCAGTCGCATTAGGTCCTCGAGCACAGTGGGCACCAGGATGGTGTCCTTTTTCGTTTTTACTGCGGGCGGCTGTGGCGAAGGTTGGCTGGTACGTGACCTTCGTTGCTGCTGGGCGGTGAGAATGGGGCGGCGGGCGGATGAGAGGGTACGCTGGCGTTTAACGGGCACCACTTCTGTTTCGGGCGGCTCCTCGGTCAACTGAACTAGGTACTCCGTCACCACATTCTCCTTGGATTTGGTTTTGGGAAGGGCTTGTGCCGGGGGCTTGGCGTCGGTGTACCAGCGGGGGTCCTCCAGTTCCGCCTCCCAGTCAATGATAGAATTATTAGCGCTGGAACACTTTACTGCCTCAAGGTCGTAGATATGGAGCTGCAATATTATGTGGTTATTATCAGAATATCCGGTGAGTTTTCTAGGAAGATTTGCTTAAGAGGAGTCTCCAATGCAGTCTGTGTTTGCTTTGGTTCCTTACCTCCTGTCTACCATTCACCAGCCTCGTTTCCCGCTTGGCGTCATCGTATGTTAGTGGATCGGCCGGCGTTACTATATGTTTGAGTCCCGAGCAGTCGATTAAGTGGTTCTGAAACGATTGGAACGTCATAAAATGGCGTTCGCAGCTACGGCAGAGTGTTATAAGGCGTTTCTGCTCGTCATACAGAACGTCGGCTAAGCGAATCGTCCTTATCGACTTATTTTTTCGCGTTCCATTCATGGTTTTTACAATAAATTCGCGCCAAGCGAAAAAATTAAAAAATATCTGGCGTTTGTTTTGCTTTGGGCGGTGTGGCCAGACAACGAAAGTGAAGAGGTGGCAAGAAATCCGCGTTAGGGTAAAAGTACTTGCAAAAACACCATGGCTTCACTGCACTCTGCATGCGACGTGAGCGCGCAATTCAAAATGTGTAAGTGTTAATGAATATTCAAATAGTATTTAAACTTGCATTACGATAACTTTATTTTAACTACAGAAATATTAATCTCTTCAGAGACTTTTATTTTTGCTTTTCATTTTTCTTTCCTTTAAAATTTTAAAAAAGCTTTCGTAAGGGTTAGGGTACTTTTTCTTAAAGGAAAAGGCTTAAGCTTGAAAAACTTAAAAGTAATTTACATTAAAGAAACCAGCTTAACCGGCAATACGAGGCTGGCTGCGACCACGCCTTAAAAATATATAAATCAGTAAGCCATTTTATTTACAATGTCCTCACGCTTTTTGCTCTTATGAATATTATTTGTTTTGTTTCTGTTAGACTTCTGCGTGACTCTTTCTTAGTTTTATTTTTGGTGCTTGGCTTTTGTTGCCTTTGATTAACGCCCATGCAATTGAAATTAAATCGCTTGCAAATGATTCGGATGCCAGCTAAAAAAGTTTGAGAATCGGAAAAATGCCATCGTTTATGCAGCCAGGGGCTGTGCCATTTGTATACTTTGCGCTTTTTTTCGACCGATGTGGAGCCATATGGACAGAACATTGTCTGATTTGGACTCCAACTCTGATGGCTGTCTAGTGGGTGGAAAAAAGGGAACCTTCAATTTTTTGCGTGTCCTGACATTGGTATATTATAATTTTTTGTAATGTTCCGGGTAACGAGCACGGTCCATGTGTCGGTCCACGTGTAGCATAATCACCTGACAGAGCGGAGAAGAGTATCGTTGGCAGATTCTTGATATTATTCAGCCATGGCCCACATTCCCGCTTTTTCTGTTATTCTTGGGACTTAAAAAGGGAAACTTTAAAGAGGCGCATCGCTTACACCAGGAAATTGTACGGACGGGGGGTCCGGCGGCAATTGGATGAAGTTGCCGATGCTGATGAGGCCGCTCCTGTAGTTCCTCCTGTAGTTGCTATTCCTGCATGCAATTAAGCCGGGGACGAGGCACAACTTGGCACTCTGTGTGTCCCAAAACTGCAAGCTGACCATGCAAATTACGTCGCCCACACTCATACTTGCACTTGCCACTGGCACACACGCATTCCTGTCGCCTCGTTTGGGGGCTCTCGGGGGTTCCCCGGCGTTTGAGTGATGCACCGAGTCGAGTCGAGTCCGTCGGCAAGGAGGCAACTAGCTAGCTGGGCCAGAACTACTGCCACTGCCAAAGCTAAGTTAAATGGACCTGCGGTGCACTCGAGCAGCCAGCACACAAACTACAGGCGATACCCTATAAAACTGACGAGGAGGTATTGAAAACACTCTAAACACACTAAAAATTACTTTAAATTCTCATAACAGTTTTACACTTGAATTTAAATTGTATTTGTAACTCAAACTCAGGGTTTTTTTTGAAAGGGAAGCTCATCCACTAAAAATACTCGGACAGCAGAAATCGATCTGCCCTTGCTCAAAGTGACCACAATTGAAATTCCGTTTGTGGGAAAGTGGTGGTTTCAGTGTGGCAGGCACCACTGTACCACGTGCATGCAGATTGAAGTGCAGACCATGTCAAGGTAGCGGCTGCAGCTTTGGCCAGTAGATTAAATTAAACGTGGCAAAGGCGACGGCGCCAGAGGAGGAGCTCCGTGGCTCCGAGGCTCTGGGGCTCCGAGGGCCAGGAGCAGCGGGCACTGCCAGGAGGAGCAACTGCAGCAACGGCAACAACATTAAACGTGTTTACACCATGTCCGACCAGTTGATATGCCAACTGCCCCGACCTGTCCTGCAACCCCACTCACTTGCACTCGTACACACAGATGCGTAGCCAAGCATGAACTGCTCTTGGACAATGAACACATGGCATGGCAGGGCATTTCCACCCGGCACCCACCCACCTATGTATCCGGCCAGCCGCCCATCCAACCAACCAGCCAACCACCCACCAGACCGTCGACTATTGTCCTGCTCTTTGTTTACAGTTTTTCGAGGGGTTTCGCAGGCGAGTGAACTAGCAAAAAAAGCAAAGAATCACAATCACTGCATACTTGCAGGTGCAGCTGCTGTCATAATACAATAGAGAAGCTGCCGCTACAATTGCCACACAGTTCTTGTTGCTGTTGCATTGTTGTGTTCTGCGAATTAACCACCCCGCTCCACAGCGCCCATAGTTTCCCTCAGCTTTCCCCACTATTTTCACCATCTTGGCGACCACGTTTTCGTACAAAAGTGCTGCATACTTTCCGCAGCCACACACCTTGGATGTGTCACAGTATTAGTGCGTGTGTGTGTGCGTGTGTGTCTGTGTTGAGCTGTGTCGCCATGTGTTAAGTAAGTTCGGACAAGTGGCTTTCCAGGCATTTTCCAAGCACCTCCGTCCGACACTTGGCATGTCACTTAAGCTAAGCATCAAGAAAATGCCATTTTTCACATAAAACTACAGCAGAAAGATTGATTCCGACTAACCTGCTGGCTTTTTGGGCTTGTGCTTATGGGTATTATCAAAGAATCTTGGCTTTAACAGCCTGCAAACCCTTTGCAAAGTAAAAGCTATTCAATTGATATGATGGAGTCTCCTGGTTTAAATATTAAGTTTTCACAATAAATTAGTTTTTCATTTGATTTCATTTTTTCAGAAAACTTGTTCAGTAATTCAAAAAATAAATAAGGTGTCAGAAAATACATTAGGTGTATTATATTTTAAACCTATTATATAGAAGTAAACCTCTTTTTATGAAAATTACCTATTAAAATTCTAAAGGCACAATGAATATATTCAAAAGCAAACATTAATTGGTCCCAAAATGGATTAGGATAACTTTTTCAGTGTGAGGCACAAACTTTAGCAGCTTTACATTGGAAGGACCATTGTTGAGTTCCCAACTGACAACCTGGCACCTGCTAGTTGCAACTGTCGCACCGTCGTCAGTTTAGCCGCAGGAATCAAAGTCCAAATATTACGCTCATTTATTGACCCTCGGCAAACACAAGCGAGAAGTCAAATGAAAATGCTATAAACGATGGACCGACCAACTTTCACCGCCCGCTCCCCTTTCTCCAGGACCTTTTCTGTCGAAGGAAAGGCATGTGTTTGTGCGGGGGGAGGGAGTCGGGGAGACAACTTCCTGGTTTGCCTTCCATGGAGTGTGTCTTTCATAGAACTATCGCTAGGTGGGGCACTACAATTGCAGGAGATCGGCAATTTCCTGCTTGCCTCGCAGGCAACTTGATTGCAAAGCACAAAAATCAATAGGAAATGCAGTTAAATATTTTGCAAGCCGAAATAATTGCACATCTGAGAGGTGAAGGGGAGGGGGGATCGAGCACTATACACGATAAATGCAGCCAGCTGTCCGGCGTTTCTGGCAGAAATTATTTAATTAAAAGCCGAAACTGAAGTTCCCGGAGAATGTTCCTCAGCTGAAAGCGCAACGGAAAACTTATGGATCATTGCAAACTTTTGTGCCCCTCTTAGGGCGTATTATTTCCCACCCGAAAGAGCTGAGCTGAGCAGGTGAAAAAGTTTGCCAGTCAGCCTTCAACTTGTTAAACAATTTCGTATATATTTTCGACAAGTTTGCTCCGTAAGTGCGAGTGTGCGGGTGGTTAAAAATCTTAAAGATAGGGCGGCTGCAAAAATAAAAACAGCAGCTCCTCCTGCTGGCTGGCTGGCTGGCTGGCTGGCTTTTGCGTCTGAATAGCTGACTGACTAGCTGACTACCTGCTGTCTATCTGCGATTCCTCTGACTGGCAACTTTGCCAGACTATTTTTCTGCCGCTTTGCATGTCAGTTCGTTCGGTGGGCTTGCAGCCGGTCGAAAAGTTACAGCTCCCCCGAAACCTGAAACCCCCAATCCCCGATTTCATACCCCTTTCCACCTGTTTTCCAATCCAATCCTCCGTCGGCTTTTGTGCGCTCGAGCGGCGAGCTCCTCAGCCATATGCAATTGAATTTGCCAGGCTCCTCCATCCGGGTGCTTGGACTACACAGATAACACTGCAAAATACCATAAAGTGAGCGCTTAAAGGGTAACGATATCAATAATAAATAGCCGGTCTAGAAATTCATGCAACAGTATCGCCCAAAAGCCACTGCCACTGCCTGGCTGGAAACAAAAAACAAAAACAGGCGAAGCGCCTCTGGTCAACTATTAAATTGGCCAGCTTAAACGTGGTCTATATAATAAATTGATGGGCTTAGCCGATCCCAGCAGGAGGGGCAGAAATTTAAGAAAGTGCAGACTGAAATTTAAAACGTTTAAGTGCATCCGGCAATAGCCTCATTTACATACTGTCGTTAGGTTCTTAGGACAAGAAATTTAATGCAGGCAGCTTAGCTTCAAAACACTCAAAACTAAATGGAAGCTTAAATCACTTGAGCAGCGAGAGCTTGTTAATGTTTTAAGCCCAACATTTGCTATATGACGACGATGACAGAATGCTTTTGAAGTAGAAACCGCGCCACGGAGGTCAGTCGATATAGAGCGAAAACCTCAAACATTATAAATGAAGCGCGACCATTTAAATGGCGGACCAGCAGGCGTGGGTTTCCGTACGACCGCCGCACTGCGGAGATAATAGAAAATGCATTTGGCCAGCATCAGAGCAGCAGAGCATCAGAGCAAGTTCGGCGAGGTAAACAGCAAAATCAACCGGCAAAAAGTAATCACCAATAAACGACAGTCGAAAAGCAGGCGAGCACAAATATTTGCCCCGAAAGCAGACAACAATAAATGACAGTTCACACACACACTGTGCCCCTCCCGGCTTTCCACAGGATTTTCCCCGCCGCATTTTCCCACTTGCCGGCCGACCAGCACAGCAGGCAACGATAAATGACAGCAAAATGCTGCTGCAAAGCCAAACGGTTTGCAATAACCGCAGAACGGGCTTCAGCTTTAAGTATCGGCCACGTT